TGGGATCAAATGCATATTTTTTCACGTATCTGTACTGTATTTTCGGCGTGTCGTGGCCACACATCAAACAAGCAGCGCACACGTAGGGGTATATGTGGTTATAATAGCATAGCAAGGAGTTGCTCGACGCAGACAGGGTCAGCACTCGGCAGCCAGAGTGAATCGCTCTATGAAGATGATCGGATGCTCATTTAGCCACCGCCCGCTCACTGTCAGATCTCGCGATGAGGGGGAGCTGGTTCTGTGACGGAACTTTTAAAGGTAGTGTGCCACCTTTGAAAGATTTCCCATTTTATTTTTCCTAGGATAAGAAGCTTCTGTTTTTACCTAATATCGCAAAAAAAAAATCAAAAATGGGCCTGGAATAGTGCCTTTTTCGCCTAAAAGTTTATCGGTTTTTAGATATGTATAACAACTGTAGTGGGCTCACCCGCAAACAGGCGTCGGGCAACAATCGCGAATGCGGCGCACTTGTGACAATAAGCAAAGGTCATTATAGTGTTACGACCATACGACGTACGGGAATGAGTTATCAGCTGTCTAATCGTAGACAACACAATGTCGAGCCTTAAACTGTAAGCCCGTATTGGTATTGTTTCTTTTATTTGGCTGTCGAACATTATTTATGGTTTGAAATATGATTTTATGTAAAATAATTGATATGAAAAAGCCGTCTTATAAGTTATGACCCCATTTCACCACACGTAAGTGGCATAAATGACAATGATCAGCTGACGCATTTTTCTTGGCCGAAGTCAGAGCGCGCGGCCCGACGCACCACGCGTATTTGGAAATTCCGACCTCGACGAGCATCAGAAGCCAACTAACAGGCGTGTTCGAAACCGCAGGAGCTGATGATGAACGGGTTTATCGAAACTTGATTGGATGAGCATATCGGTAATAGCGATTTCAGTGTGTGCATTTATTGTTCATAGTGGTGTGAAATGTGGTTGGGGTACGACCGACAACCCGTCGGGGCGAATTTCGCACTGGGGTACTCAAAATTTGAAGAATTTAAGACGTTTCCATGAGTTTTGAAGGTATGGATAAGTTCTAAAAATCCGGTTCTCCTTATCTGGGCCATTAACTCCATACGGTCCAAGAAAGCTGGCACACTACCTTTAAGGCGGTACCAAAAGTGTTCTCACAACTATATACGGTACACTGCGAGCACCATGGCCTCCTGGTGCCGGCAGTGAACATGCTTCTCTCAGGCAAGGAGCAGGCTGTCGAGGCAAACGATTTTGTAGAAAGTTAAACCGAGAAAGTAGCTCCATTGAAACGAGCGTATATGAAAATAACTGCATTTCCATATGCAATATCGTGCAGTGCAAATTGTGTTTAAAGCAACTTGCGTCCTATTCCGGTCTCGGCCAGACCTTCGGTCGGTCTATGGCCGGCCTTGCGCTGCCCCGACACGCACAGTGCGCACACAGCCACTCGCGTCGGAAGGTCGGAGCAGACCGCAGCGCAGGTCCTGCCATAGACCGACCGGAAGTCTGGCCGAGACCGGAACATGGCGCAGCCGACTGTAGTGTCGCCCAGTGTCTCTGTGATGCTGCCGAAGCTCGCCCCGCAGCGTCTGGACTTGACGACCGACCGCGGCGAGTCCTTCCGTGCGTGGCAGGCAAGACGGGACGATTTTGCCCTGCTGTCGGACCTTTCTGCCCAGCCGCCGGCCGTCAAGATGGCGATTTTTTCGATCGTGCGTGTCCGATGAGGCTGTGAAAGTGATCGCCAACTTTTCGATCTGTGCCTCGGACCGCACCGACCTCGCGGTGGTTCTCCGACACCTAGAGGAATACGCCGTCGGCCAGGTAAACCATGTGCTTCAGCGGCGGGCGTTTCACCTCCTGGTACAGAAGGAGGGGGAGTCATTCGATGACCTTCTGACCGAGCTACGTGATCTGAGCCAATCGTGCGGATTTTGTGGTGAGTGCTGCGAGACGCTGCTGTGTGACCGCGTGGTCGCCGGTCTCCGTGACCCCGACACAATTAAAAAGCTGTGTGCTGTACCGACCCTACGACTAGATGAAGCTGTTTGCGTGTGCCGAGCCGAGGAGACCGCGTCCCTGGCCGTCGAGGACATCGTGTGACTGTGGGCGCACTGCGCGTGTCGGGGCAGCGCAAGTCCGGCCATAGACCGACCGGAGGTCTGGCCGAGACCGGAGCACGTCCTTGACTGTCTTTTCATTGGTGGAGAGCGGGAGTCTACGTGGGGACCGGGCGCGCCGCCCGGACCGGATACAGCAAGGCATCGACCGGCAGGGCCGCCCGAAGGCGGCGCGAGGCGGACGGGGAAAACAGCGACAGCGCCTGGGCCCTAAGGCGGCTGTAACTCGGAAGACGACGGTCGTGACTGGCAGGAACGAGGTCAACGGCGGGAACGGCGCGTCGACACATCGGACGGCGGCGGGGGCCGAGGCGAGTGACCTTTTCGGAGGCAGCGGCGACGAGCGCCGTCTGCCCAGCCGTCATCGCCCTCAGACGGCGATGACGTTGTTGTGACGTGACGTGATGTTGTGAAGGAAGGACAACAGCGTGTGCCGACCAGCACTAGGGCCCGGCCGGCCCCTTGTGGCCGTCACCGAGGCGGCCGAGGCCAGCGGCGGCCGGCCGGCCACCGCCGCGGCCCTAATAGCTCGAATCGCGGCCATGCTTGTCCATAGTGTATAATCTTTTTCCTGGGCCTTGGCCTCCAGGCCGTTATATACCTGGCCTGGCTGCTCGACCAGACAGGCCACCGGTCCGTCGATGTGGTGCGGCAAACCGACGCGCGCACAGCAGGCCATGGCGCTGTCGCCGCGCAATTCCTGGGTGGTTCGGACCTGGACCGCGAGGGACGGCGGGCGTGTTGGCGGGCCCAGCGGGACGACTGTGCGGAACCGCCTTTCCCGGAGTTCAGGTGAGCTGCGAGACGCTGCTGGTCAGCGCGCGGCTAAGGAATCGGGCACGGCGCGCATTACCTTAGACCTGCCGGCGCCGGCAGGGGCCGCGGTAAATGATCCCATTAACTCTGACGAGTGTTACGTTTCATAATTCATACGCTAGCCTGGACGAGCTCGTAGCCCTCATTTACGAGATGAGCGGCGCGGGGACTTATTTTTTTTTCAAAACAAGTCATTCGGTCGGCTGTCAAAACGATCTCGTCCGACCTGAGAAGCAGAGTGGTGTGGCTTATGAGGATGGCGCGTCTTGGTATAAATTTGCATCGTTTACTGTCTTCTTTGGTCAAGAGCGAGAGTTGCAACAGGAACAGCAAACGCTCTAAGCGAATGAAGGCCTCGGCGAGTGTGTCACACCTGCGCCATATGAGGCTGCTGGTCGGTTAGACGGTGGCGTAGACTCGGGATTCGGTGCTGCCGCCGCCGGAAGAGGAGTCAGCCCGTGTGCAAACGAAGTGTTGTGCTTCAGTGCCTGTTTTCCTATCCTGCCAGTTTGGGAAATAATGGCTTTACCTATTTTTTATTTTATTTTACTGGATATTATTCTCTCCTGCAATGAAGACGACCTGGGGTCAGATTGCAGCAGCTCGCCACCTGATGAACAAGAAAAGTTGGAGGATGACCTCCCACCGGGTGCCGCGGCCGAGGAAAACCCTGGCGACCTGTCGTCGGTCGACACTGACGATAACAGCGACGAGAGCCGGTGGTCGGTGAGGTCGGCGGTGGTGACCAAGACCTGTTTGGAGGCGCTGCTGAAGGTGACCCTGGTTCGCTGCTACTGCGGCCGAACCTCTTCACGACATTTTATGCTTGAAAAACGATGTCAGGAAAACGGTCATTCAGGCTCAAGCTAAGAGCCTGACGCGTACACTCAATTAGCCCTCCCGTGCAGAGGGTCTCTGTATTAGAAATGTTTTCAAGCCTGTATTAGATCGTGATCGTAGTTTGTCGTGATTTAAAGGTTGTACTGTAGTGTAGTTTAGTTACCGGGCCCCGCCGCCGCCGCCGCGAAGTAGAGAAGTCGGCTGGGATGACGATCACGGTGGCCAGAAGCGGGTGGGTCCGTGGTGGTTGGCAGTGCGGTATCGGCATTCCAGGCATCGAACCTGAAGCGAATGGTCGGTGACGCGAACACCTACATGATCAAAGCGGTAAGAGACCTGAAGGGTTTCTATCCCGAAATGCCTCACGCCGCCCGCTTGGCTCATGGGCTAGTCAAGGTGTATGAGCGGGCCAGAGAAATGTCCCCAGAGTCAATGCCTTGATGTCCACTGTCAATAAAGTGTTCTAGAAGGGACCCAAGCGCATTCTGATGGGGAAGGACATGTGCCCTGATCTCCCACTACAATATTGAAAAAATCAATTCTAATGAATAGTGTTTGTCTGTTTCAAACAGCCTGCAATTTCCACTGGAACCATCGGACCCTGACAGTTGACACGTTAAGGTACCTGGATAGAAGTGGCGATTTTCTATGCCAAAAGTCGGGATCGAGTGTGGCCGTATTGGAGAGACAAAACTCCACAAAAGCGGCTGCTTTCAAGTGGGCGAAAGTGGCCGTGCAGCATCCTGACACAGTTGTATGAAGATCATGCAGATCCTGCCCGTGTTGAAGCGCGGGGCATGGAAGCGAAGAAAGAAAAGACTGGAGGTGGCGTGCAGGGGACGTTTCCAGATCTCGAGGACGGCTGTGTCGATTGCGCTCAAATTTGGTAAGCGGTTAGGGACCGGTTGGCAGAGTGCCGAGCAAAAGTCGTTTTGGACCCAGTTTGCACGTGCCACGTGCAGGATGCCGCTTCCAGATTTCGGGAACGGCTGAGTCGATTGCCTTTAAAATTGGCACACCGATAGTGACCTGTTAGTAGGGTGCAGCACAAAAGCCAGTTGCAAGTATCCTCCCGCCCTTCTGCTATGCAGGGCTCTCTGTCGCTCGCTCGATCTTCGCCCAAAAGGCGTTTTACTGGTAATAAAAGAACGGGCGCGAGCAGCCCTGCCATTTTTTCATGCAAAACTTGGAATCCGTTAAGTTGTCTGCAATAATTAAAATAAAAGTAAACTTCAGGGCAGGTATAGTTCTATATTTGCCTATTTCGATGCATGAACATTGAACAAGGCATACAAAATTGCCAACAATGAACTAGGCTAGCTTTCCTCTCATTGCAGCATTGTGCGATTAGAAATTCGTCGGCCACATTGAGTGGTGCACTGGCGAAACATCACCAACATGAAATCACCAGTTTTGTGGTGGCTAGAACACACACCATTCCACAAAATATTGTCCAACAATACTGGGCAGTGAGCACCACTCCAAAAAAAGGTGCGACTCACCACACGATTGTAACATTTTAAACACTTGCTCGTGCAAAGCACCCAGTCGAGTATGACACAACTCAGTACCAACGTTGGCGCAATATTCAGTACAACGCATAAGACTCTCATAATATTAGCAATTAAATGTAAAACTGACTTGAAAACTGCGATAAGTACAACGAAGGAAGGTAAATCAAGGTCAAGATAACATGACCAAAGAATGCATCTAATGATATAGAGCGCAGAAAACTTCTATCAAAAAATACTTGCCATCAAACATAATCTTACTGGCCAATAAAGGTTCATGCCGATCTCGGGCGACTTTCGCCTAACTATGACGATTGAGGCAAAAAATGCGGGATGGAGCATGGTACGCACAAAAAAAAAATGATCAAGAACATAATTAAATCAAAGCATGATTATGGATATCCATGACAAAGGGGCCTCATCGTAGATTGGATAAACAAACTACGATGAGGCCCCTTTCTGGTGGTGCATTTTAAGCTGATTGAAGACTATCATATTCTGATTTCTGAGCACATCGGAAAATCTCAAACTGGCCAGAAATCAGCTAAAAAAAAAAACATAGCAGAACGCTCAAAATAAAGTCAGTCATCAGGACGGTCTCGTATCCCATCCGGTATTCTGCCCTTCAGCCGGCCTTGGTCCTGCGTTTAAATCAATGTCGACACCCGAATTATTATGAGTATCACCGGTGCACCGGTGCAGTATCATAGATGCACCGGCAGCTTTGGTTGAAACGACTAATTTCACGTCATTTTTCCGGTCCTGTGGGTGCCATTCTTCTCAGGAGGAGCCCCTCTTTACACGCCACCACTTCTCAGACCCTTCCCACAGCCCGCATTCCGGCCACCGCGGGTGCCCGTCAGAATAGCTAGTGACATTTGAGCTACCTAGTGACTTTTCAGCTAGTACAAACAGCTAGTGCCTCAAAACCAGGGATGCGGAGCCGTGGAAATTTCAGACGGCTCCGACTCCGGCTCCGGCTCCGGAGAAAAAAATCGGCTCCGGCTCCGGCTCCGGCTCCGGGTGAAATGTCATGGCGGCTCCGGCTCCGGCTCCGGCTCCGAGTAAAATTATCCGGCTCCGGCGGCTCCGGCTCCGGCTTCTACTAAGTATGTACATCCCCTATGCGATCAATTAAATACGGGTGGAAGAAAAAAGGCGATGGGATTGGTGCACGTTGCTACTGTATTTGTATAACAAGGCTATTTTGAATACCACATTGTTTTACGCCTTGAAGGTGGTGGCAGCATTGCTTTGAATGCGAGGCGAGGTGTAACCGTGTATGCGAACACTGAAGGTAGAGAACACTGACCAGGACCTCGACGGTCCCTACTGTCAAACCGAACTAGGTAAATAATTGTTTCCTCTAAAGAAAAGGAGCCGGAGTCGCCCCCTTTTTTGACGGCTCCGGCTCCGGCTCCGGCTCCGGGCTACATTGTTTCACGGCTCCGGCTCCGGCTCCGGCTCCGGGCAAAATATGCCGGCTCCGGCGGCTCCGGCTCCGGCTCCGGCTCCGGCTCCGCACCCCTGCTCAAAACAGATAGTGACAAAATCGACAGCGTCAAAATACCTAGCGAAGCAAAATAGCTAGTGCCAGTAGCGGCGGAACACCTTCAATGAAGGGGGTGGGGGGGCACTGCCGACTTTTGGTCCCATTCTTTCCATGCAACGCCCATAGGGCTAATGTCAAAACATTTGTCACTAGCTGTTTTGAGGTACCAGCTGTTTTGTACTAGCTCAAAAGTCGCTAGCTCAATTGTCACTAGCTGTTTTGACGTGGACCCGCCGCCCCACGCTCCTTCCCCAAAGCCGACGGTCACTAGCACTACTCGACGCACGGGCCGCCGGCGGTCAGCGACCCTCTCGGGGAACAGTACCTCGATGTGGCGGTCTCACAAACAGCCGGCGCAGAACGCGACGCCCGTCAGCACCGACATCAGGTTGATGATGACGAAGGAGGTCATCATGGCCGTGTAGTCGCAGTAGTGCGTATCGCCGTAGAAGGAGGGCTCGAACGGCGGCTGCCAGGTGGGGTAGACGAGCACGCAGCCTGCGCCACCGCCCGCGGAGCGTACCGCGTCAGACGCCGGCACCGGGACCAGACAGTGGCAGCGCGGTACGGATAGAGAAATTTATACAAAACAAACAGATCTCAGGTAAACTGACATATTTACACATGTTGATTAGATGATGAAGATGTGTCAATCATCACCACAAACAATTTGGTTAGCTTTGCAAAATGTGTCTGTCTACGGCGGTCACTATCAACTAGCTATTGTAAACACGATATTGATACATCTTCAACCCACTGAAAAAAAAACACCAAGAAATGCCTCACCTGAAATATAGAAGGCGAGATAAAAGAGTCCTCCGGCTACGCCTTGCCGGCCGCTATGCTCCTCATCCGTACATCCCACCCAGAAGATGTATACCACCATCAAAACACCTGGCGAAGGACCAGCACCGGTTAGCGCCCGATGACCCAGTCAGCCGCAGAGGCGGCCAAAGCATCGCGCGTGAATAACTCATGGCATATAAGTTAAACATAACAGTCAACCGCCTCGGTTAGCGGCGCTTATATGGAATAAGGCAAAACGATGCCTCAAGAACGTACTACATCGATAGCACCATGAGATGCACTAGCATTGGCAACGAAACAATTTGTCAGCGAAAAGTTAAGCAAATGGCCAAGGCAAAAAAAGCAACGAAGAAAAAATATGCAAATAAAAAAGAGGGAAGTGAAGGAAAAAGGATTGCCATTTAGAAACCTGCCTAACCTTGTCGGTCAGAAGGACCTCGAAGTTTCTGCATGAACTTTCTAAATCTTCAAAATGAATGTGATGCCACTTAAAGTAAAAGAAACTACACTAATAAATTATTTAAAAAACGCAAAAATGCGGTGTAGGCCGGCTCGATGTCCACACCGCGGCGGTACACCTCCACCCCGCACTTCACCGTTCGGACCGGGCGAGGCCAGCGCCCGGGTGGGCAGTCGCCTCGGGCGGCAGTCTGTTCGGCCGGCCAATCAGCTGGCGGCCGGCCTGACCCCTGACACGCCGGCCCTAGGACACCAACCGCCCCGGGGCCGGTGCGTTCGGTCGGCCAATCAGCTGGCGACCGGGTGTTTCAAGGCCCCGCGCTATGGCACGCTACGCGTAGCGGTGTATTGGGTTTCCATGGGAAACCAACAAAGTCGGGCGCACGCCATGCTGAAGAGTCGCGGCGAATTCGTCACAAGCGCCGTACCATACCAATACTGTAGCGCACTGTAGTGGCGTGCCAAGAAACATCGCCTGGGGCTGTTTGAGCGCATGACGCTAGCTGACTCTACCAGCGACCGATTTCATTAACCATGGCAAAATTTTACATAAAGGTGTGTTTTACGCGCTAAGAAACTACATCCTTTAGTAGTGGGAACGACGCTACTGAGCGCTATATTGGCGTTCGGTTTCCATGGAAACGTAAGCAAACGCCAATTTTCTATTACTTTCCATAGAAACCGAACGCCAATACCTACCAGTAGCACTCAGTAGCGTCATGCCGCTGAAACAGGGTCTTCTTTCGCTTATTTTTGTTACGTTTCCATAAAAACCGAGCGCCAATACCAATAGCGTTCAGAAGCGTGGTGCCGCTGAACAGTCTAGGGTACAGGGGCCGTCCCGGCCAAGATTACTTTACTTATAATCCAGGGGGGCCCCACCTCCCCAAAAAATGGCGATTGGGAAAGAGAAGCAATGGGTACGGATATCGGGTAGGAAAAGCGGGTTCGCGTAACATGCGTTTGAAATGATCGATCACATGGGACCAAACTAATGATAAAATCGCTACAATCATATCTTAAAAGTACCTGGACGTTGAACAAGACAAACACACTCCACAATAGAATATAAAAAGCAACAACGAAACTTCCACGCATCTCTCACCTCCGGTTACCATCCAGATCGGGATGCCAGGCGTGATGGGACAGTCGTGCAGGAAGAGGCTGCCCACGACGATGAGTGTGATTGGCACGCCGAACACGAGTCCGACCACAGCGGCCACCATCACTGCCGGCAGACGGGCCGGCCGGCCGGCCGTGCATCCGTCAGACCGACGGACGGGTCGGCCCGCGCGCCCAACACGACACACATGGGCGCCAGGCCCTATAATTTCGCAATTATTTAAACGGTTAGGTATTCAAAACATGCTGTGTTTGCTGTTTATCAACTAATTAAGTCCACCAAAATGGTACATTTCCGACACACCTTTTTTAACTCAGGACTACCTAGAGCGGTTATCAAAGTCGCTGACAATGTAATAACTACAACCGGACCTGACAGAAGGAGCAGGGCATGTTGAATTATTTGCTCACCCAGGCCCACCAGACATCCCACTGGCATAAGCAGCAGGTTTAACATGAAGTCGCACAGCCCCGAGGAGCTATCCTTGGCCTCCCGGATCTGACCGAACAGCGAGTTGTAGCTGGGAGGGTCATCACCTGTCAACATGCACAAAATCGACCACTCTCCTCAACGCGGTAAAGTGAAGCACTTTTCATAATAATTTGTTGTTAAAAGGAGCTACTTCAAGGGACTGATATGCAACTGCAATTACCAGATAATAATTTCATATGCCTCCATAGGCAAAGAATTAAAATAATTTAGAGGCTTTGTATTGGGTGTTGTGATGGAATCCACCTGGTATGCGGACTGGCTTGCTCAATCATCTGTGGTAAGTTTACAGATTATTCTGACGAGTCGTAAGTTACGACTCGTAACCTACCGGATGTTGGCGGCGGCGCCGAGGTGTCGGCGGCGTTGGTCTGCCCCTGGCCTACTCGACCAGCTTCTGTGTCGGCGTGTGCGACGGCCGTCCCCCCTGGAGGCCAGGGCGTGCTGTTCGGGACCGCCTCGGGTCGCAGGGCAGACGAGACACTGTTAAAGCTACCACCCCCCGCTGCAACGAAAAACCAAAACAGAAACGATCAATCCTCTTAAAGCGTTATACCAGACTACTTCGTAGTAGCTACTAGAACACTGGATCCCTAATGGCGAGAGCCCGTGATGGATTCTTAACCCGCGCCGGGCCGGTGCTCCGAGACTTCCGTGCCGGGCCGGGGTGGGGGGTCTGAACACTCCCTTCTAACTCGGCCTCTGGACCACGTAGCGACACGCGGTAAGCGGCAATCGAAAGAACGTCCAAAATAAGGAACGAAACACTTCGGTTTATTTTTTTGGGTCAGGTCAAAGGTCAGGTCACCAAAGGTCACCAAAGGTAAAATGTTGGCTATTTCAACATTTTGGAAACTGTCAACGGCTAACTAGGGAACCGATAGAGCTACAGCGCCGCGGAAAAGCGCATTCGATAGCTCCTTTAACGCTCTTTCGCCACCATATCCTCAGATTGGACCTCAGGTCAACAGTTTAGCCTCCAGAGGACAAAAACTCCAAAAAATAGCCGCTTTTACGAAGTGTTTTTTTTCGGCAATAACTTTTTACTAAGAGCCATGACATTACTCTTGCCAGCATCATGTCCTATCGTCTAGACGCGTCGAATGAACTATAATTTGACCTTGAAAGGTCAACTTGAAATTTTGAACAAAGGGCAAGGTCATGACCTGACCGGAAAACGTCATGTTGCATATCAGTCGATCCGCATCGTCGAGCCGAACACATCTAAGATGTTTTCATCGCTCTAGCCTGCCTCTATCAGAAGTTATTAGCGAAAAACTGTTAGATACTATTTGTGACCTGAGATGACCACCGGGACATAACGCAGGGTCACAGGTGCCATTTTCCGGTTCAGTGTGTCAATTTCACCTGCATCCCGATGTTTAACCCGCGCCCCGTAGGGGGAGGCCGAAACGCCCCCCCCCCCCCCCTGTCCTTTTCGGTCGATATCTCCTAAACGGCTGGAGATATCGCCACCAAACTTTCAGGACCCCTCCGGGCATCAATTTTACACATTGTGACCAAAAATTTTACCAGAGGCTATGATAGGTTGGCCACAAATGACGTCAGAGTGACGTCATGTTCTGTCATTTTCGACCGAAAAAAGACCTTCGCGAGAAGACCTGTCAGGACTACAGCTTTGAAGATACAGAAAAATGATCAAGACATAAAAGGTGTAGAATTGACAGGGCTACAAAACTGCTATCTCAAATTTTTGAAATTTTCGAGTTTTGACCCCCAAAAATCAAAAAAACATTTTTTTGGATATATTCGCCAAAAAATCCAAAAAGTTTTTTGAGTTTCGAAAAAACCGGAATATATGTGATAGTGCCTACCGTATTCTATCTACATACCAAATTTCAGATCGATACCTCGTTTTTTGGCCAAGTTATAGCGAAAAAACTTCAAAAATGATGACGTCAAATATTCAAACTCAATTTTTGGCAATTCTAGAACTCGTAGAGCAAAACGAAGACCACCATTAGACTCCCCGTGACGAGCTGCATCGAATCGATACCCATTTTATGCAAAAATATCAACTTTGAAATTTGACCTAATTTGACCTGACCTTGACCTGACCTTCACCAAAACGTGACCTAGGCTGGCCCCAAAGGCTGCCTAACCCACATAATCGCATTTGTCATGTAAAATGGACCATAAAACATGTATCACACGACACATTCATATTGTGACCCCCGGTGACCTGACCTCGCTGTGACCTGACCTGGTATCAGTGACCTCAGATAGCAAAGTATGTGTTTGACGAACAATGTACCATCGATGGTTTTCAATAAATTACCAATTTACTCGCTTTCACAGCACATTTCTTGAATTGCCTGTGAACGGTGAAAATCTGACCTTTGACCTGACCTGTGACGTCATCGGTTTGACCTAGGTCAATGAAATTTGGTCACAAGGTAGTTCCCGGGTGGGGCTATCGAACGCCGTTTGAATTTTGAAAATCGGTCGGTAACTTTCCGAGATCTTAGGGGGGGGGGGCCGAAACGGCCCCCCCCCCCTACGGGTGGTAGGGTCCGCCGGTAGCCCTACGGGGCGCGGGTTAAGTGTCCAGAATGGCGTTCGTGCAAAAGAAACGCTTTTCAATTTTCTCCCATTGACTTATAACATGGAAAGGCCGCAAAATTGACCTAACCTTTACCTTAGGTCACCGATATCAAACTTCCGTTCCGAGATATACGTTTTATTGATCCTGTTACTCTCATCAATCGCTGAACGTCTCAAGGCAATCGTTTAGTCAGTATAGCTATGACGAGCATTCTATTTTTTTTTTTCTGAGGTGTGGTCACTTGGCGTGACCTGGTGACCTGACCTTGAGCGACCTGGGTCTGAAATTTGCACAATACCTATGTGCGGAAAAGATGCACAAACAGGTGTGCCAAAACATATCTTCGAAAAAACCACAGGGGGGGGGGGGGGGTAAAAACCAGCCCGGCGCGGGTTAAGAGTTCATCAGGCCCATACGCTTTTAACCGAAGGTTTGTTGTCAACAGTTAAAACACTATTCTTTAGAATTTTGTTTTTCTATTGAAAAACAAATCTGAGTTCCCTGACAATTTGGCAAAAGCTGTCTGAGATTATTCAAACCGGATCTTGATGGGTTTACCAACTGACATTGCAGGCCAGGTCATTGACCTACGACGGCATCAGTGAACATCTGCAGTCCTAAAATGTTGCAACATCGCAACACTCTCAGTACCAGGTAATATTTTACATTAATATTAAGCTTCCAGGATGTAGAAAGCTTATGAGAAGAGCTGTAACAGCAGGAACTAGCAAAGCCCAGGAACAGACTAGCAAGAGACGCCGAGGGTCATGGCTCATGGACTCGCGACGTTTAGGGGCGGCTTGGACCAGCTTCGACGCATCCGCGTTACCGAGGTCTTATGCAGATTATTATAGTGAGGTCAAATGTTGAAGCTGCAAGCGACCAGCAGCTTAGATCAGCGGTTCGAAAGAAAATGTTACACATGGGGAATGACGAAGTGGTCGCCCCGACAAGTAGGTGTAGAGACAATAACGGGAGCACAATAGGAAATCAAGCGACAATGCGCCAAGCACCGGGCGGCGGGCGCACCCCGCCACACTTACGACCGAAGTGGAACCGACAGCCCCTGAACCAAGGCCGTATAAGATCCCTGAACCTACCGAAGGCGATAAAGACTCAGCTACAGACCCAGCAAGGGAAAGCATGGTTCTGCCCTGATTCCCCTTTTTCTAATGGCCATATCGATACGAGGCATGGTCAATCGCTTCCAGCTGACTGCTAACCCTGTTGATAGGTAAAGGTAACTGTTAAAATGAATAATTAATTAGAAATAGGAAAAAAATTGCTGTTGTGATACAGGTGACATCGAGTATTGGTCTGTCCGTCTTCATGCACTGGGGAAACGTGTTATGTCAGGGTGGAGCAGTGCTCTCTTTACCGAGTCTACATCTGTGTCTTGATCGGCATCGGTGTCCCTGGCCAGGCTGTCAATGCCGCTTTTCTCAAAGGGTTAATCCTCTTGCGGAGAAAACCCAACGAGTTTGCTTCGGTATCCAAAAACACCCAGGAGGGAGGGATATCCATGACTCCCCTTAGTATACAGATTAATATTGGATACAGGTTCCACCATAGTCCACTCCATACCATAACAATGCACACTGCAAATGGTCATTTTTGTGAATCCCTGGCTGACATTGGGGCAAAATGGTGTGAGTGTGGGTGCAGGGGGGGGGGGGGGTCAGGTCACACCAACCCCACTCAGTTAGGTTGTATTGAGAAAACTGATAGGTCTGTGTTGAAGCTGACAAGAATGTAGTAAGGTACCTATAAGGTGCTTACAGGGAGCTCGTATGGCCTCTTCATATGACGGAGGTGCCAGGTCATCTCCAGCTGACACAGCATCCATGGGTGGTGCTGATGGCAGAGTAGGCGGCTGATTGCCATAGCCTGGGGAAGCCATCTGGCAGCTTGCGATTGTCACCTGAAATGTTTTTCACTAGATTAGTCACACAGCAATGTATACCTACTGAAATACAATCACATTGTTTCTTCTCTATTCTTGATTCGTTTTTTTTTTTTTTTAAAGAAAAGACTGAAATTAAATCAGTGTATTGAAAGTACTTTCCGTAAAATGTACATAACCCCCTTCAGCTTGCCATTTGAACATAGGTTTCTTTGAGATGCAGCCAGCGGGTCACAGGAGGACAAGTCAACATAAATTTGTCCTTGCTCATTCCATGGTGCCCCTTGCAGTAGGTACCAGTAGCAGCGGAATGTGGGGGCACTGGGGCACTGCCGACTTTTGGTCCCATTCTTTCCATGCAACATCCATAGGGCTAGTGTTATAATGGCAAAATCAAAAGGGGGCATCAGCATGGTGCCCCAGTGCCCCCACATTCCGCTGCCTATGATGGGTACTATTGCATTAAACAGCAATTTATCTGCAATCATAGGTAAGACACTCACGTTTCAGTTTTGCTAATGCTCCTCTTTTTTTATTATTTTTTTCATGTTTATTGATCGGAACACCCATCCATCAGCACACATCAACCCAGCAGCACGGTAGCAGCTCACACTCGAGCATGCTACACACATTCTAAACATCACCAGGCACTCTCCCATAGCCGACATCTGTCACCCCCGTGATCCGTCAATAAATTTAGCGTCCGGCGCACCGCTCGCTGCCTGTCGCCAGTGTGTTTACTACCTATTCACGAGCCAGGCGGCGCCACGACGCTCCACGACGGCGGCCCCCGGCCCGGCGGACCGGCAGAGGACGGCGAGGGCGGCAACGTGGAGACCTTGGAAACGGTCTCGTGAGATAAATCGCGCGACAACCGCCAACGCCGTACAGCGGCCGACGCGCTCGCTAGCTTGATTGAAGGAAGGAGAATATCAGGGTTTGGGATACTATGAGGGGGTGCCAATGTGTATTGTGTTATAAGAGTATAGGTGGCGGTAATGTGTTCATGTGACTGTGCAGTGTGTTTGTGTGTTGTGTATGTGTGTGTGTATGTGTTTTTTTCTTCATGTCCTATTCATTTTTAATACAGTCTTCACTGTTTAAGCATTGATATGCCTAAGTGCTCCCCATTTCTCTTGAAAGTTATTTTGTTTGCCGAGCAACTCGGCAACTTTGCTTTCTGTTTCGATTTCTTGTTTTAACATGTTCATCCAGTGTGTGATGTGTGGTGTGCTATCTTTGCAGCGCGCTCTGTATATCAGTAGGCGGAACTATGGTCATGAGTACCCAAATATAGGAACGTTCCCATTTTTGGGAACGGAGTTCCCAAATATGGGAACGGGCGTTCCCATTTATGAGAACGGAAGGCAATTTTTCGGCCGTTCTCCCACTAAAACTCAAAAGTGCATCACGTCTCAAAAAAGTGCACGCTGATTTAAGTATCTACTAAATCTCCATAAAGTTATCTTTAATCTGACCGTGGAACAAGGAAATTGACCGTGGAATGATATTTTTAATGATTTTTTGAAAATGACAGAATGGTGGAAATATGGGTTATATGACATTTAACATGCAATTTTAAGGAAAATGAAGCATTTTTTAGTTTGAGGTAAAGTATAATAATTTTCGCCTGGTTATGAACTTTCATACTATCGACACCAGATGCTGACAAATGCAAGCGAAGACGCGGACGGTCCCGAGGTAATATTGTTGACTTTTGTGTCGGGGCGGACGACCGCGTGGAACGTGAGTGAATTTACCGAGCTACTGTTGTAAACTCAGTTTAAAGGGACCCTCCCACCTTAACATTAGTTTTGAGTTTAGATAGCCAAGTTTGCGGCCAGGCTCAGAAACCACTATTTATCCTGGCCGCAACCCCCGCAGCTTTATGGTGTTCAAGAAATTTCTTCCCTTTACTTGCAGGGTGGGACCAGCGTGGTCCCTATCTCTTAACCATTACGGGAATCTGATGACGTCATCAGGCTTTCGAACGTCCGTCATTAAGTTTGACTAAAACGTTTTGTAGCACGCGGTGGTATATGCTATTTGCGCGCAACATCTGCCGCAAACGCCGCACTTCTAAAATAAAGTCGCTAGAAACAGCGGAGATCCCAAAAAAGTAAACAAAAGTAAAAGTTTTATATCTTGAAAACCGGTGAATATTTTTCGGTGAAATTTGGTAGATATTCGTTTTCGCTCTTTCTGAACCGAGCGACATCACTTTCATGCCAATTCATAAACTTTTTTGAAGGTGGGAGGGTCCCTTTAAGCGGTTGAAAATTATCCAGCTGTATTTTATCATCCCGGAAAGACATATTTTATTTGGATGCTAGCTGTTTAGAGTTGTTTTATAAGGAGCGTCATGAGCGTGGTTTTTGTCTTCCGTGTTTCTAAGCGTGATCGTTTTGGGGGAATTTCTCTTATATAGCTCGCTCTGTGTGGCTTATTTATAATTTTTATGCTGATTTCGATAATTCCTCGTGCCCATCCTACCAGGCCTTTTGCCACTTACACTCATCAAGAAAGGAAAAAACTAGATTTTCATTGGGACTAGGTGTTTTGAGGGTGTAACATATTCAGCGTTCCCATTTTTGGATACTTCCTTGTACTCGTCAACTATCGGTGATAAACAGACAGGTGCTTGACATGTCTCCACCCTCAGCGCGGACGGTGGATATAGGTATGGAAGACCTTGTTGAACATCGCTGAGCGTTGTGAATTACGTAATCCTGCAGAGGGGGGCGTGCCCGCTGCGAGATCGACGGGAATAAAAGCGCAGAAGACCGGGCGAAACATGCGACGGTCTTGCCGGAAAGGTCATCTGATGATTGTTGCGCTAACAATAATTTGCGGCGTTGGACGTGATGCTTGTTAATGAAAAGAGCCCCTGAAAGGCGTCGGTGAAATCGTTCCCAATTTTGGGTACGCCGTTCCCATAATAAGGAACGCTTGCAGCGCCAGTGTACGAGAGCGTTCCCAAATTTGGGCTCGCGGCCCGGATGATGGACTGCTTTAGAAATAGGGGAACGATTTGAAACTACGATGGGCCTTACAATATCAAACTCTTTCCCAACAATATTGAGACAAATATCAGGTGGTTCACGATCGTTTTATATTTTTTGGACGTCATTTAACGGTTCTTTTTCTTGTTTTAAATAATGCCTACATGGCGTTCCCATATTTGGGTTTATCGTTCCCAAACATGGGAACGAAAATGCGTTCCCGAAAATGGGTACGCTTGACCATAGTTCCGCCTACTGATATTGCTATTTTTGCTAATGTGAATATCAATGTTTCCCTGGCTGGTAAATCTGTGGGAAATAACCATGTTTTTAAATTTACACTTACACTTACGTTGTACAACGTAAGTGCTCCTCTTGTTACTGATTGCAGCCTTGGGAGCTGTCCAGTGTCCACTGACCACTTGCCGCTTTTTGCCTTTATCAATAAAGGCAGTGTATCTACACCGGTCCGCGAATGGAAAATACTAAAAGGATGAATAAAATCACATTTCATAAGCCTTGCGGAACACCCAACTGGCAATGTGTCAAAAAGGCACAAAAAAGTAATACACGTCCCGGGAAAATAATCCGGCCCTTTCCTGCCCAGAAATTATCGTTGCACTTCCGCTCCGTCGTGTGAACTTCATGACACCCTGTTCAATGTGCTAATGACGATTCTCTTCCAAAAAGCCCAGGGCAAATTCCACCAATCATTTTCGAAATCAAAAGTATCTTACGTCATAATTGCTAGCGTTGTGCGATAACAGAACATAAATACCGGAAACGCCTTCGGAAAGAATTGTTTCCGGTGTTTCCCGACATTCCCGACACACGCCATTCGCGCCATTCCAAGGCCGTATAAGAGAGGTAGAAAGAGGTAGAATAGAAGGATTTTGGCTAGAAGTGAATGATGTAGATTCTTGAATATTTGCATAATCAATTATTAATAGCTAATTGAATGTATCTGCCCACTAATCGGCCCCTAAAACCTGTTATTTATGAAATTTAAAAAAATGAGTGTCACGTGCGCGTCATGACTGCCAACCATAAGCGCTACCATATTCTAGTTTGAACTAGCTTTTTGCTAGTCCCGACCACATATAGTAGGTTTTCTAGTAGTTATACTAGAAATTTCTACCAAAGTTCGTCCTACCCATTGACCTCTATAATACCTAGACGGCCCACTCACTACATTTACCCTTTCCCAAAACGGCAGCGCCGCAAGTGGTCAGAGATTCTCAGACACGCGCAGTGGGAGGGGGAGGGGGATTTCGCCCACCCCTCCTGTTTTTCGCCAATAACTCGCGCCGCAAACATAACATTAATGTGAAATTTTGGCTACCTGGCCAGAATTGAATTGCGGATCTTCTCGTGCAAGAAATAAGGAAATTGGCTCACAAATTTTCTAGCAATAGCGGTGTAAAGTCAAACATTCTGCCGCCGCCGCGGTGCGGCGGCGCGTCGGCCGGCGTCAGCCGTTACGCGCCGCCTGAATTGTAGACTGTGCCGGGGCAGGACGGTTCCGTCTTTACATCGCGCTCCTTACCGCTGATTATATTCGATTCGTGTCAAATTTTGTGTGAATACTAAGAAATGTACAGGCAATCTTATGGTCAAAGAATTTAAAAAATCGGCCGGTAAAAATTTCAGTTATGAGAGTGTAAACACAAAATTGTGATTGCCGTATTTCCCGCGTCGGCCGGTCCCGCTTCAGCCAGCGACATCATACCCTTAGCAGGCTTCTTATTGCCATTTTTATTGTTGGATTTACTAGAAAATTCATCACACATTCTCACAAATGTATGTTCTTTCGTATAGTGAAAGAACAAAGAAAATCGGCCGGTAACTTTTTGAGTTATCGGCGTGTAAACGCAAAAAGTCGCTCATATTTGACCACATTTGACCTCATTTTACCATGAAGATATTGACCTAGGGTCATGAAATTCACATACAACAGAGTTCTTTAGGGCCCCCACCTACCATCCAACTTTCGTCTTTCTAGCTCCAGTGGGAGCTGAGATCTTAGGGGGCGACTCCCCCCTTCACTGGGGGTGTTAACCCGCGCTGGGCCGGGGGGGGGGTGTTTGAACACCTCTCTGCGGTTTTCCGCAGACCGCAGATATCTCAAAAGGTCATGACCTGAGGTCAACTCTGAGGATATGTTGGCGAAAGAGCGTTAAAAGAGCTATCCAATGCGCTTTTTCGCGGCGCTGTAGCTCTATCGGTTCCCGTCCCGAGTTAGACGTTGGTAGTTTCCAAAATGTTGAAATAAGCAACATTTTACTTTTGGTGACCTCTGGTGACCTGACCTTTGACCTGACCCAAAAAATGAAAAGGTCCTTGAGTTGTGAAGGTGCGCACTGCGCATGTTTCGGACTTTGACCTCACCTCGGGACTTGACCTTTTGGGCTAGGAGGTCAAAAGTTGCACACAAGACGTGCTATTTAATTGTGCGCATGCATGCCAGGTTCGCCATGGGTTGCATGCCGCCGTTTTCAAGATATTCGTGGAAGTCAAGTAGGTGGGGAGGCAGATTCCGCCTCCCCTCCGGTGTTGCTCCGGTGCGCCTTATCACCATTGTTACCGTCGTGCTGAAAAAAAACGAGCCTGATGTCATATGAGAAAAGCATGATTTGGTTTGAGAAAAGTGGTAAATGTACCACGAACACGATATTTCCCGCTTAAATCGCATTTAGAAAAGTGCCACCCATCATTGCCGGCTGTGGCGGTCGGGAACTTCTGACCACTTCCAGGTGGCGCTAGTGAGCCTCCATGCGGGAACGACTCGGCGCTAGTGGCGCCGCGCGAGTGGGCCGTCTAGGTACTAATAGAGGTCAATGGTCCTACCCTTCACTCAATATACCGCGCCATTCACGCAGGGCCGCATTCGCGTGTCAGTGTGGTTGCTTGGTATTTGTCTAGCCAAAATCACGACCCTCGGACCCTCGGATGAATTGGGACATAGCCTTTGTGCTTTATTACCTACTTGCAAATTGTTAATGGCTGGCTTCTATCCAAACAGTGCTCCAACACTGGCGGATCCAGCTCAGAGTTTTGGGAGGGGCAAACCGTAAGAACATAGTGGAGAAATAAAGACTTTACATGCACAGTATAAGCGTAGTTCTGAAATTTTGCCATTTGAGAGGGGCACTAGCCCTATTTGCCCTCCCCTGGATCCGCCACTGCTATCCTTTATATGGCCTTGCTATCCAAGGCCATGGATGAAGTACTCCATAGATGAAGGAATACCTAATCCATGCCAAGGCCTTGCGTTTTTGCATGCCGTGAGTGCCATGTTCTCATGATAACATTAAAAGTAGTGTTGCAGATTGAGGACATCTTTGAAGTTGGTGTGAAAGTCAAAGTAACTTTTGCTTTGTAAGGATGCTTTCTTTTAGAAGATGCATATTCCTTGGGTTCTTGGTGGCAGGATTGACATTACTTTGGGTTATAGTAAGTTGAAGTCCATGCTAGCAGAGCTGATTTGGATTGAATGTCTTTGTTATGCTTTTAAATGTTTGCTTGATTTTATCCTCTGTTGCATAGCTTTGGATACCTGTTATTCAGTCAGGTCTATTGTACTGATATTTATAATAAACTTGCCACTACAATTGCATGATAGTTTCACATATGAGGTTTTAAATGATTGGTCATTAACTCATTATCCTTATTCATAGGCCTTCAATACCTCAGCTTTATGACTGTTTGTTTGCTGCTGAACAGAAACATCCAAGAATGACATCGGTGGCTGAAGGAGCTGGTGATGTTCAGGTCAAGCCCAAAGCAGACAAGAAAGCTGTTGATCTGACATCTGGAGAACTGCCCAACATTGATGCCAGTCAGATAACAGTTACTGCCAGCCAGATTGATGTGGATGTGAGTCGAAACAAGAGTGCATTTGACTCATGGCTGGTAAACAGAACCCAAAGATTTTAAGCTTGGAATGCGCTTTTTTATTAGGATGCCTGCCACATTATGGTGGTTCTTACTTCTTAGTGGATCACAATTGTTCCTGCTCTTTTTCAGGGTGTAAAGTTACATCATGCCATAGCCCAGCCACAATCACCTGTTCCTGGGGCAGTTTCATTTCTGCTCTTACATGGAGCTGCTTTCTCGTCAGAAACCTGGCATGAGCTTGGAACTCTGCAGACATTGGCAGCTCTTGGGTATACTGTCATTGCTATCGACATGCCTGGACCTGGTATGTCACATTGATGTCTCTTTCACAGTTAATGTTATGGTGCAAAGCTGTCAACAACTTTGCTTATTGAGCTGAAAGGATGATTTGTGGTTTGTAGCATGAGAGATTCCTGCCTACTGTGCATTTAATGGGATTATGCCGGAATAGTATGGTGTCTTTTTATTGTCTCTTGACCCCTGTCAGTTGCTATAGCTATTTTCATATGTTTTGTTTTATAGAAACTGAAGTGTCAGCTGTTCGCTTGCTTTGCTGAGGCCCTGTGTGCCTGCAGGTTTCCGCCGCTCACGGACGGAGGGTAACGGGCCGACGGACGCAGCTGGCCGCGCGACGTTCCTGGACGCTGTGCGCCGCTCACTGCACCTCGGCGACCGGGTGGTGGTCGTTTCGCCGTCGCTGTCGGGCCAGTTTTCTATACCGCTACTGTTGCAGCAGCCCAGCTGGCTGGCCGGATACGTGCCCGTGGCGCCCGTCGGCACTGAACAAATCACCCCGACCAATGCTGCAGACATCAAGGTAGTTCTACAAAACGCTAGCATTTCATAATATACACACGTGCACTCGTGACCATGTTATAAGGTCGTCCGTGGCGCAGCTACGAACGGTGACGATGTTTCGTTAATTTGGGTGCGTTCTAATTCAAATTTCACAATTCAATCGGTTCCGATATACGAGTTTGCTTATAAACTAAGCCATGATTTAGCGGAACAATATGTCCCTCGCCGCCTAGTGCCTGTCCCGAAATGTGTAAATCAGGTTCGAGTCGATCTCACATGCATTTCAGAAGTGGGGCTGGTGCACTTCAGCGACATATTCTGAAGCTTATTTTATGCTACTGTGCTGACCCTGCTAGTAATCCTTATTACTTGGCATTTCCAGCAATAGCGATTCGCCTAGTCCGGAGTGTTGAGCTTCCATAGCGCTACTGCACTGTCATGTTCTAAGGGTTGAATGGTCAATAATGCTTTGGCTGTTCTCAGGTGCCGACGGTGATAGTGTACGGCTCGAAAGATCACGATCTGGGCGAGTCATCGGAGCGCGTGCTCTCTCAGATCGGCGGCTCATCGGTGGTGGTAGTGCCGGGCGGAGGGCACCCGGCCTACCTGCACAACCCGACACTCTGGCACCGCGTACTCTACAACTTCGCACGCCGTTTGCAGCCCGCCGCTTGAGGTCCCTCTGCTGATCGACAGTGTGGAGCGGGCGATTGAGCGGTGTTTATAATCGATCACAAATTATTGGGGTGTTGCATATGAAATGATACCTATCGAGGTGGATATGAGGACTTCGAACAATGACGATATCGAGCTGCATATCGGACCAATGGCGCGCTAGCATTTACAGCGGGCTTTGTGCCGGAGTCGAGAACAGATAATTCGCCGCAGAGCTTAAACTGTCTTATTACACTGCTGCTAAGGTTGCCGACAAGAAGGCAGGTAGTGCTCTTATGTTGAATGTTTTAGTGCTATGTGATTGCGAACGGAAAAGTTATGCCCTGCGTGAAACCAGTTAGCTAAGAGGGGAATGGGTTTCGCGATTGTCTTATTCGTGCTGTGAAAGGCTGATGTACGTAATTGGCCTGTGATATGTCGTGGGACACCACCATCAAATATACACATATCTATTTGCAACACTACTTTGTTCCGCACTTAGGGGGCGAGCATTGCAATCGGCCCAGTCTTTCTCGGGATTGGAAGCGGCCTCCTGCATTACGTGCGTGTGCACTTACAAACTAGACCTCAACCGGCGACGGACTTGTGCGGGGCACCTTGGCTTACTAGCCCTGTCGAGCAAATTTTAGCATAATCGGCCCAGCTATTGTCGGGTTATGAAAACGACCCCGGGAGTGCGCACGTGCAGTAGCACTTCAATCCTGATGTTGAACATGAAATCCGGGGTCACTATTTTCGGAACAGTTGAAGTGTTATGTCTCATTCGCCATGGTGAATCGACCGCCGGCATTCCGTTTCAATCGGCTTGGTAATTCCCCAGTTCCATTGGCGTGACCGTCGACGGTGAAGTTGACATTAGTATGACGGTCACTGCAGAGGTTCAGTAGCGGCAAAACACCTTCAATTAAGGGGGGCACTGCCGACTGATTGCGTTTTTGTATAGGTAGATGATAGATCGACCAAATAGTCACTCAGAGAATGACAGTCGTGGGCGAAAACATGTTGAACTCCTAGGTCACCAAATATACCGAAATAGCATGAACCATGAGGTCATCATAAATGTCATGCTTGGTAAAATGCACGATATATATAGAGAACTGGCATATGATGGTGAAATGGCAGTCGCATTTTTGCCACCAGCCATTGGAATGGACCGATTTGGGGGATAAAGGACATGCAGTGCTTGCCGAGTTGTGGATGATGGCCGCCTTACCGCACGGGCGGACAATCCAAGTTGACCTTTTGATGTCACTTTGGTCATCTAAGGTCACTGTACTGTATTTCAGCCAAATGACTAATAAACTTTCCAACCGCTATTCGAATGGAGTTAGCTTGTACTCAGTCGGCTATGCTGTTTCCAAGTTCTAGAGTGGGTGCAAATTGTGGCATCTGAATAGTGTTGTCCTCTGTTTTGCACACTTTTCGCACTTTTCCGCCACTTTTGTATCAAAATTCGGTTTGGAAGAAACGTGAGGTTACGTGGATTTCTCGATTCGGATTAGAATCACGTTAATTTTTGTCGGTGAGTATGCTTTTCTGGCGATATTTATTGAATGAAGTCAATGAAACGATCTGTTTTTTCCCATGTTGTCTTGCAGTAAAAGTGGCCACCGGTCTTAGTTAGGACGGCCGGTTTCTTTTGCGCGGCGTAGTTAGGTCGCCGCCCTCCTCGCGAGGCCAGTAACGTAAGTTAGGGCCACTAAAAAAAAAAAAAAAAAAAGGTTTAACATTCACCCTGGAACTCAGTTGTATTTCAATTTGGTTTTCAGCTAGATTCCCACCGGGCACCTGCCTTCCCACGCTGACGCCGGCCTAAAATGTAAGTATTTACCTTAAGTATTTACCTTAAGTAAAGGTCATTAGATACCCTTTCGAGTAATAAGACCCTTTACTCAAGAGGCGCCTCCTCCTCTTCTGATGAAGACGAGTTGGCTGCCATGCTTGTTGTCGCCATAAAATGACGACCACTGTTGTTAGTGACAGTAGCTACTGTTGTTAATACGATGAGAAGCCACTCTTGAGCATTAGTAGGAGAAGTTGTAGTTAAACTTGTCGGGGTGGTCCTTCCATTCTTTCCCGTCTGAACTTAAAAACATCGACATTTGGTGCTTCAATAGTGTTCCTAGACAGCTTGTTCCACGCCCGAGTCACTCGTGCCGCGAAGAAGGCTTTCCTAGGTCCCAACTGATGCTGAACCTGCAGCTTTTGACCATGACTTCGGGTGGTACGGCTAAGAGAGTTCTTGAACATGCTGTTGCGACAACACGAGCACTCTCTTTGGTAGTTCACCGTGTCGAAGCCGTTTAAGATTTTGAATGTCTCGATAATATCTGATCTTTGCCTTCGGAATTCAAGGGTAGGCAAATTGAGGCTTCTGAGACGATCTGAGTATGACAGGTGAGACAGCCCCTTCACCAGTCTCGCTGCCCGCCGTTGCACCTGCTCGAGTGCGTCTTTATCCTTCTTAAATTTGGGGCTCCATATAACAGCGGCATACTCAAGATGGGGTCTCACGATGCTCTTGTACAAGGCTTGAAAGACATCACTGTCAATGTTTGCAAAGGTATGTTTGATGACTCCGAGAATTCTATTGGCCTTGTTAACCTGGTTCATGACATGTTTTGAGAATGATAGTTTCTTGTCAATAGTAACTCCTAGGTCTTTTTCTTCACTGACTGCTTCCAGAGTGTGATTGTCTCCGTCTATAGTAGTCATAGTATATTCTTTTTCAGGATTAGTTGATCCTAGATGCATGACCTTGCACTTCAGTGGATGGAATAGCATCTGCATTGTTCTTGCCCAATCCTGTATAGAGTTTATGTCCTCTTGTAAGCCATTTGAATCATCAGACTCGTTGACGACTTGATAGACTTTCGTGTCGTCGGCAAACATGGAAATGAAACAATTTAACAGGTCGGGAATGTCACAAACAAACATAGAGAACAAGAGAGGTCCAAGGACTGAGCCCTGTGGCACCCCGCTCGTTACATTCCCCCAATCTGAGAGCGATCCATTTACTTTCACCCTCTGCTGTGTGCCAGTGAGGAAGCTCCTTATCCATCGGCATGTTACGTCATCGACTCCCAGAGCCTTGACCTGGGCCAGAAGCCGTTCATGGGGCACAGTGTCGAAGGCTTTGGCATAGTCTAAAAATACAACATCCACAGGTAACTTGTGACTAAGCGCTTCTGTCCAAACATCAAGTGCTTCCAGTAGGTTTGTGACCGTGGATTTTCCCGTGATGAAGCCATGCTGTTGATGAGCGATAAAGTTATTTGCCTTCAGGTGAGTAATGATGTCTTCGCCAATTATCCTCTCCAAAAGCTTACATAGTATTGATGTCAATGAAACTGGTCGGTAATTTGCAGGATCACTTTTGTCACCCTTCTTAAAGATCGGTGTGACGATCGCCAGCTTCCACTGCAGGGGAATTTCCCCAGTTTCAACGCTTTTTCTAAATAATGCCGTGATAGGTGGCGCAAGCTGGTCCGCAAGTTCCTGTAATACACGAGGGTGTAACTTGTCCGGGCCTGGTGATTTATCGACCTTAAGTGTCTTCAACATGGCATTAACTCTCTGAACAGTTATTGTAACTTCCATCTCTGACTCCAAGGGCTTCGATGCTATTGTTGGAATTGATGATACGTCCTCCTTTGTAAACACGCTCGCGTATTGCTGGTTCAATATGTCAGCTTTGTGCTTGTCATTACTCGTGAGTTCTCCATTAGCACTGCGTAAGTCAGATACACCGCATCTCGACTTCCTACGGCGGTTGACGTAGTTCCAAAACACTTTATGGTTACCTTTTACTTCCTTAGCCAGTTTCGACTCAAATTCCCGCCTTGCTTTCCTTGTCGCGTGAGTAGCTTCGTTTCTTGCCTTAACATAGCTCTGGTAATCAGAGACATCTTTAGTGTTCAAAAAACGAATCCAGGCGTGCTGTTTCTTCTTCACCATTCTCAGAGCATTTCGATTCATCCAGAGGGGATATCCCCTTTTCGATTTTTTGTTAGGATCAACCTTGGGCACATGCTCTTCTATCAGATCCGCGATCGTTTGTTCAAGTTTATCTGCCATCTCCTGCACAGATTTACCTTCAAACAATCCTTGCCAATCCATGTTAAGTGCTTCCCTCATATCTTCATAATTGGCTTTATGGTAGTTCAGCACCGCACTCTTTCTTGCTGGAGCCTTTGGTGCAAACGACATAACAAATGAGATGCTGACATGGTCGCTTGCTCCAACCGGGTCACCAATGCTGAGTTGCTCAACCAACTCCCGCTCATTTGTAAATAGTAGGTCGTCGAGAGTAGCTCGCTGTCCATCCCTGTATCTTGTTGGCTCCGTTATATGTTGTAGAAGGTAGGTGTCGTGTATGCATTCTATAAACTTCCGGGCTGGGCTGTTCTGGCTGACACCTTCTGGAACTTCGGGGTCCGGGGTCCAAAATATTTCTGGGTGGTTGAAGTCCCCAACTATGACTTTGTGGGAATGATTTGAGGATGCCGCCCAACCAAACATTTTGTGGAGATCATGATCCAAAGGAATAGCTCTATTTGGTGACCCACTTCTATAGATCACCCCAACGAGCATACTGACCCCAGCCTGGGCACCAATTGAAATCCAGGTACAATCTTGAAAGTTGCCGCCCACCGTAGGATACACTTGCTTGGCCAGTAAGTTTTTCTTGACGTAAATTCCCGTACCCCTTGTACCTTCGGCAGAAAATTTGCTAGTAAAAAGGTCATACCCAGGCACTTCCATAACAGTATGTTCAGGTATCAATCCAACTTTGGGCTTCATTTCTGATAACGCAAGAACATCGTAGTCCTCAAGTGCAATGAGTGCCAAAATAGAGTCGTATTTACTCATGATAGAATTATCGATGTTCGCATAAAACACTTTTAACGCACTTGAATGTGCTGGGGGCCCGGTTGTTTTCGTGCCATCTTGGATGTTTAGCTTTGCAGTGATGGAACCATGACCACTTCGTTCCGTTTTATCATCCATTTCTTTTCTGGGAAAGCTAGGCGTTTTTCCTGCAATAGTGCTCGCAAGTTTTTTGAAGCCTCAAGTTGGCATTTTGTAAGATCTGGACGGATAAAGACACTAGTATATGTTTCATCACGGCTTGTTCGCAGATCCTTCGCTTTAGCCAAGATCAGCTTCTTTTCACTCAGTGCCTCGAGTTTCACTCTAAGTATTCTGGAGCCTGTGTCTTTCATCTTTCCAAGTCTTGTGGCCTCCTGTAACTTCACAGATAACTTGAACTCAGACTTGATCATTTCTTTGAATGCTGCAATGTCTCCCTCGCTGCTGCCGGTCTCGGGGAGGTTGAAAACAACCAAGTTTAGTTTTCTGTTTTCAATGTCTTCTAGTTCAGTCAGTCCTTTCTTCAGGGCTCTGGTATCGGTTGTGTCCTTCTTTACTAGGCTTGACTTTACAGTCACGGCCAGTTCCTCCAGTCTGGTTTCCAATGCTGACATGTTTGCTCTTGCTGCTTGAGCATAGCTTGGACTGCTCATCTCCGCTGATGCCGACCCACAGCTTTGCTCCACTTGTTTCAATCTTTTTTCCAGCTTTACTTGGAGGGCAGCTTGAGTAACACTGGAACTGACCTCGATGGCGTTGATTCTATCCTGCAGCTCTTTTTGACACGCTTCAAGCTTCTGGCTAGACTGTGAAATATTAGCTTTCAATGCGGCAATCTCAGCACAGTTCTGCTCGCATGTAGATGCGAGGCTTTTGAGGTCGGCTTTGATCGACAGCTGCTCTCGCTTCATCGCTATGATCTCGAGTCTCAGCTGCTTAGCTCCTTTCTTGCACGCCCGACAGAACCACGCACAACTGTCTGCCTCGTCCCCAAGGGCTTCGTACAGTTTGTCCGATACTCCTTGGCAAACAACATGGTATCTTAACAAGCACACCTCACACTCCAGTGATCGGTCTTTGGCGCCCATTTCCATCTGACAAGAGCCACATAAGTTTGAGGCATTGTTTACCTTTGCAGCCTTTTCATTTTTGTCATTCATTTTCTTGTTCCTTTTTCTTTTTCCTGCAATGATCCATTCGCTGCTTTTTGGGTCATAGCCTTCGACAAAGCAATCCGAGTCGTCGTCCGTAGAATTGTGCATAATGCCTTGACGCAATCGCTAGTCGCTTTTTAGTACCTACCTAAATCCTGCGATTCCTAGATCCTAACTTATAAAGCACGTGCCACCAGAGAAAAAATCAAGGGAAGTTGACATTGATGGAGCCGAGATACTTTCCAAAAAATTAAGGAAAATAATCCTTTTTTAAACGACTATAGTAGTCCTACACGTACCTACTTTCTGAGAAACATTTACACACCAGAAATAATATACGATAAAATGTGAACATTTTAATACATATTTCACAGCATTATCTGAGCTGTTTACGGTAAATAAACTAAAATAGTGGAGCACTTTGAAACACGTCCGACTATTCCAAAATGTATCAGTTTTTCAATGAAAGGTAATGAAAGGTAAATAAATGAAAGGTAAATGTATCAGTAATGAAAGGTAGTAGGTACTTTTTGTCATTTTAACTTTTAAAGTGACCATCCCGCCTTGTCATTCTAACTTTTAAAGTGACCATCCCATCTTAACATTAGTTTTGAGTTGAGATAGGCAAATTGGTGGCCATGGCCTGCAACTACTGGTTTGGGCACTCACAACATCGAAAAATGCTTTAATTCGGAGATATGGAATTTCAAACTTGCAGTTTTTGGATTCTAAGGGGTTAATACATTGGAATACCCCCTGAGAATTTGTGACATCAGCGGAGATCTAACGTATTTTGAGATCTTAGACTAAAACCATCGTTAAAATGTGGTGGTAGATATACGCTGCTTTGCGGCCAAAGGCAACGTCTGCAGCACTTCAAGGCTGCTAAATTATTGCTTCCAAATAAAGTCGCTAGAAACAGGAGAGATCCAAAAAGTAAACAAAAGTAAAAGTATTATCTTGAAAACCGGTGAATATTTATTATTTTTCGATGAAATTTGGTAGATATTCGTTTTCGCTCTTTCTGAACCGAGCTACATCACTTTCATGCCAATTCATTAAATTTTTTGAAGTTGGATGATCCCTTTAAGTTATGATAAGAAAGCATGCTTTTTGCTTATTAATTTATTACCATGGTTTAACTTAAGAGTTCAGTACATCAGTCAGGGACACTTCAGGGAAGTAGTCAACTTCTTGACCTACTCAAGACTCTGATACGAGCACCCAAGTCAAGAACTTGGTCTGCATTCGGTCGGGCTGTTGTTAATGTGGAATTTCCATGCTGAGGAATTTCTCATGAAAACAGCTGTTTGGCCCTATAATAACACTAGGAGTCCTGCAGCATTATGTGAAATGGGCCCGCCCGCATAGCCGTTTCCATGTGCATTTCTTCAGTATGGAAAATCCACTTGGAAAATAGCCCATATGAATGCATAGTTGATTTGTAATGCCAGGGGCAATCAATGATTGGATTATGTGATGCAAAGGGTCCCTTTGGGCTGGCTTTCATGTTTGCCATGTTTTTGGCTACAGACATCCATTTTCATAGATAAGAAAAAAATTGTGAGGTTTTTGTTTCAGATAGCTTCTATGGGATACCGTATGCTTACAACGGCAAGCAAATTTGAAATATATGGAATGTTTTTGTAGAGGAACTTCCGTAAGTACTTCAGATGTTGTGCATCTGAAACCATTTGCATTTTAAATGTTATACATTTGAAATTATCACCATTTCAATTGCTATACATGGATGGTACGTTTGGTTGGAATGCAGAAATGGGCACCACATAGTTACAGAAAGCTACTGAATTTCATTAACCTTGGTTGTGTGGCAATGTGGTCTGGTAGGTAGGGATGAGGCTATGTAAATGGTCTGGTAGGTAAGGTTAGGCTATGTGGAACAGGTAGAGAAACCAGGTAGAGCACTTTCACTCAAAAAGTGGGGATAGAAATTAGCTTAGTAGCCAGGACTCTGGGGCCTAACAGCCTCCGGTTGCCATGGTAATGGGGCAAATTTAGCATGAGTATGCATCTGTGATCTGATAGCTCATTTTTCAATGGATCATTTTTGCTTGAGCAAAAAAATTTGTTGGAATAGTAGCAAAATGAATTGAAGTTTTCATAGATGATTTTTATCAGACTGGCCTAATGCCATAAAATAAAGTCCTATAAACTGAACCACCCAGGCTGGTTCGTTATAGGTAATAGGTTAGCTTTAATCCTCTGGCCCCCAAAATCATCACTTCGATATCAGCCAATGAGAATTGAGTTGAGCATTCTAAAAAATTGCATGCAGCCAATCAGCATAAGACTTGCTTATATAAGACACATATAAGACTTATGCTGATTGGTGGGATGCCAACTTTTTTAGAATGCTTACAGTGCTGACAGTGCACAGTGCACAAGTGTCGCCTTTAATATTGTTATCATTTGTTTATGCTTCATTTGTCATGCTTGTATGTCTTTCAGATAAGCAGATAGTTTGCACAACATCTGGTCATCACCTTCCTGAAGAATGTTTGGGTCTGGTAGTACCTCCAGTTTTGGTGAGTACCCACTGCTGGATATGCATTGACATGATAATTGTAGCACTCACTCTATCATCACATAAGTTCTGGCCTAATTAATTAGCCAGTGTCCTATTTTTATATGCCATTTTCAGCCCTACTGTTGTTTATCGTAATAATTGTACTCATGGTCATGGTTCACCTTAATCTGCTCCAGAACCACATTATTCAGTCCCAGATAAGATACACTCAACAGGGAATAAGATCGACAACCATGTACATTGTACATTGTGCAAGCCATGTAGCAATCATTTGACAATAGACTTGACAATTTGATGTGAGTTTCGCCATTTTTATTTCTGGCTTCCTTGCCCCACTGGCACTGGCTCACCCCTCACCCCTGCTCTGGCAGGGGGCTTCGGCTCATCTACTCCCACGCAGACGCCGTTCAACAGCTCGGCGTTCAACAAGCCGGCCGGCACGGCGTTCGGCTCGACGGCGTTCGGCGCACCGGCCTCGGGCGCCGCCGGCGGATCGGTGTTCGGCGCCTCGAGCACGCCGGCCTTCGGCGCCCCGGCCGCCACGCCCGCCTTCGGTGCCGCTGCCACGCCCTCCACCGGCTTCGGAGGTGGGCTGCGGGGGTCGGGGTGTATGGAGGGGTGTCGTGACTGCAGCATTGAGTAGCAGCTGCGTGTGCATTCAACTATGATTTACTATGCGGAGGCGGGTCATTTGCAACCCACCACTCACCAGTAGCTGGTTTCGGTAATCTATCAGTGTACTCGAGCCCCGTTCGCTATCGCTGCTGTGCCCATTAATTGAAGGTGCTCCTGTACAATCGTTGTCTTGGCAGAACAACGACGTAATTCCCGTCTGACCTCTCGTCTATATGGGCGGGTTTGGCCCAGAGCTGCCTGTACTTAGCTAATCCTCCGTCTTTCAGCACTTCTCAGGGTTCAGCTAGCTTTCCCCATGGTAACTCCCTGTCCATCTGGGGCCCGGGCAGGCTTCGGCTAACTCCCCAGCTTACTCTCAATCCATTCGAGTAGGGTTCAGCTAGCTCCCCCAGCTAGCTGTCCGTAACCCCCAACATATCCGGACAGGATTCGGCCCTCCCCAGCTAACCCTCGGTCCATTTTGACAGGGTTCGGCGCGGCCGCCTCCTCGGCGCCCAGTATGTTCGGTGCGCCGCGCACGCAGGCGCCGCTGTTCGGCTCTGCCGGCACGGGCTCGTTCGGCGCGCCGGCCGCCACCCAGCCGGCCAAGACGGGCTTCTCGTTCGGCAGCGGCACGTCCGTGTTCGGAGCGCAGCCGCAGCCGGCCACCGGCACGGCCACCATGTTTGGCGCCCAGCCGACCGGACAGACCCCCGCCTTCGGCGCCACCGCACCAGGTCAGTCGGTGCACTGTGACTGACTGCTGGTGCCTTTTGTGCATGAATGAAGTCATAGCGTATGTAAAATTTGGGTCATTGTGATTTATTTGTATAACTCTTGCCTTTTTTAGATGTCGTGGTATCATAATTGAACTGTAGTGTTCTCAAAGTTGTTGTATATTAGTAAATGAATTGCCGTATGATCTCTGCAAATGAAACACAACCATTAACAGTTTCAATCACTGACGTATCACGTCCTCCCTCACCCAGCATTTGGTGCCACCACGGGTGCGGCCATGACGGGCACGACGCTCAAGTTCAACGCGCCGACCGGCACGGACACGATGGTGAAGAACAACACCCAGCAGCACATCAACACCCGCTTCATGTGCATCGTCACCATGAAGGAATACGAGACCAAATCGCTGGAGGAACTACGGATGGAGGACTACGCCGCCAACCGGAAAGGTACCAGGATACTCGGGGCGAAGAGAGGTAACACTAGGATCTGTAGCTCTGACGAACGACGCAAAGACAGCAGCAGTCTGCTCGTTGCTTTACGTGTATTCTTATCCGTGATTAATTTTCGCTGGTGTGGTACTTAAGTACACATCACTGTTGCAGTACGGCTCAGTTATTACCGTCACTCTCCCGTGTGTAACTGCCTCTGGCTACCGCCGCTCCGACCTGTATCTGAAACTGACGGCCGCTGTTCGCTCCTCAGGCCCGCAGGCGGGCGCCGGTGGCTTCGGCCAGCCGGCCGCCGGAGGTCTGTTCGGATCCACGGTCAGCTCTGCCGGCTCCACTGTGTTCGGCGCCACGCAGAGCAAGCCGCTGTTCGGCGCCGCGCCCAGTGAGTATTCCTCCCACGGAAAGATGCGAGGGAGTGGATTTAATAAACAATGGCGGCAGCCGGCAGCAGGCTGCAGTTCCCTGACCGGATTTGCGTTTTCGATACTCGTTGAAGCCTAAGGCTCGTTACCCAACAAGACTTACATACCCAATAACGATATGGTTTATTCGTGCTTTATTTGCAAACTAGCAAATTTACTGCATCCATGCTACCGAATAATGTGTAGTGTTTCGTGCGTTTCATTTTGTTTATGTGCCGCCCTTCCGGAATCATACCGTTTCATACCGCGTTTTGTACAGCCGCATACCGCGTGGACACACCCCGTGACTGACCTCTCCCCGGCAGCCGCGGCCGCGGGCGGTGGCCTCTTCGGCGCCACGCAGCAGCCGGCGGCCGGCGGCGGCCTGTTCGGAGCCAAACCGACAGCGTTCGGCACACCGACCACCTCCGCCACGGGGTTCACGGGCTTCGGTCAGCCGGCCAGCTCCACTGGAGGCGGGCTGTTCGGAGCGGCCAACAAACCGCTCTTCGGTGAGCGATGGCGATACGCGTCGGGTGAATTATTAGCTGGGGTGGCCGGCAGATGGCCTGGGTATATGCTATGTTTGGTATGTGTGTTGGGTTATGTAGCCTGTAGGCCAGTTTAATGCGTTTAATGGAAGAATAATTGCCACCGTTACTAGTCGACGCGCCCTAAAACCCTAATATACAGCAACGACCGATCGAAGCGGCTGGCTAGGTATGCATATTAGCTCAGGTTTGATAAGTTCCCCCTGCCTCGCGGATCTGACTCCCCCCTCTCCCCTCAGGTGCCCCGAACAGCTCGAGCAGCAGCCTGTTTGGCGCCACCACTCAGCCTGCCACCGGGTTCGGCGTGCCGCTCACCAGCCAGCCCTCGACGGGTCTGTTCGGCTCCACACCGGCCTCGACGGGCGGGTTCAGTTTCGGCGGCGCCGCCACACAGCCGGCCGCCTCTCAGCCGGCCACCGGCGGCCTGTTCGGCGCCAAACCGGCCGGATTCACTGGCTTCGGGCAGACGCAGCCGGCCGCCGGCGGGTTCAGCTTCGGCGGGACGGCGGCCAGGCCGGCGGGATCCACCGCCTTCAGCTTCAACACGGGCAGCACGTTCGGAACAGGTGGGGAGATGGCTGACGGCCTGGATAGACGGGGAGGCGGCTGGCTGCGGAAAAACACAGGCCTGAGACACTAATTTAGGATGTGACTTGATCCATTTTGCTGTCTTTTATCGTGTTTTGTGGAAGAAACAATTCGATTTCCGTAGTTGTTTACCTTTTGATGGGAGTAGAATGTCGCCTTTCGGGACATTTAGAACTTCTGCAGCTAAAAATACTCACAGCCGATATATCAAAGTTTTTAGGCTAAACCAGTGTACTCTCACGCTCAGAGTAATTACCGATGTGACCGTCACACGTCCCGGTCCACACAGTGATTCGGCCTTGAGTGACACATTTTTGACGCACCGTCTTCTCCGCAGGCACCGGCTCGCTTTTCGGAAACCAAGCCAAGCCGGCGGTGCCTACCTTCGGTGGATTCGGAACGGCCGCTCCAAACCCGTCACTGAATCTGTACGTGATCACTGGGGTTTGCTGAGTGTTTATGTTTGAGTTGAGTTGTGTATTTTATTTTGCTCGATGAACCTCTGAAACATTTTCTTTGGGGATGGAATTGTGGGTTCCATTATGTGTTCGTCACGACTAAGAACAGCAACTCATTGATAAGCTATCGTATGTAGTATGACGCAAGCTGCCTTGCTTCATCATAATTTTATCCCTAGCCTTTGAACAAAGTAACTAAAATGTGCCCACACCACTTTCCCGGTCTCGAATCACTTCGCCACTACTCTCGGCACTATTGCGTTCCTCTGCGCCTCACCGCTCCTCTCCGACTGTTCCAGGTTCGGCAGCACGGCGCAGCAGCCGTCACTGCTGATGGGACAGCAGCCGGCGCAGCAGCAGCAGCAGCAGCAGGCGGGCGCGGCGGCCACTGCTCAGCTGCAGCAGCAGATTATGGCGCTGACGGCCAACCCCTTCGGAGACCTGCCGCTCTTCAGAAACCTGGCCGAGGTGGGTGGGACCGGGAACGGCGGACAGTGCTTTGCTCTCCGGCTGTGGTTATGGGGGAAGGATGCGAGCTGAATGTACTAGCAGTCGGTTGACTGTTCCGTTGCCCGACGATCCTCATGGGAAAGAAGTTTGTCTAATGAGAAGACAAATTATGCCTAACTTTGATGTGCATATTACAGATTGTGTGCCTATCGTTAAGTGTGTAACGTGCGACCATACCACTGTGCGTGTAACTCTTGACTCTTGACTCTGTGACCAGCTGACCTTTTACCTCTGCCCAGGCGAGCGTCAGTCGCCAGGACGTGCTGAAGCCGACGAACCCGCAGGCGCAGAAGGTTATCACTGAGGCCACGCCGTACAAGGTGTCTCCGCGACTGGTCAGCAAACTGACGCCCAAACCCATCACGCCCGGAAAGGTACGGCCGGTGGGGACATTGCCGGGGGTTTTGCTGGTCATCAGGCTTTACTCTGGGACGGAAATGTTTAGATATGTGAGACAAGAATTTGCCTTTTTACGCTGTTGGACAGCTGCTCAGACTGTTGAACGAAGTGTGTAGGCAATTCACTGAGTTGATTTGTATGAAACCTCACTCGTTGATGTGCGCCAGCGCTGTCTGTCTAACCCTCCCCTCTGCCCTCCCACCAGACGTCGCTGTTTGACGGCCTGGACGACGACACAGAGGACGCCGCCGAGATCCTGGTGCCCCGCCGGCGCATCAAGAAGCTGGATATCAAGGCGGTCAAAACGGCCACGTCCGGTACGCCGGCACGCGCCGCGTCCCCGGCGCCGGAGCCGCCGCTGCCGCCGCCGCCCTCCTCGGGCGCTACCCTGGCCACGCCTCTGGCGCGCAGCTCGGCAGTGTGAGTACTGAGGCGCCGCCGCTGGACCGAGGACTAAGCGGCAGGCCGGTTGGTGGTCCGTGTTCTAGTTATGTTTTAGGCGATAGTGTTGAGTTGTCGCTTAGTTTTGGTGAACCCAGCTGTACTTTATATCCACTCCACTATCTTGCTGCGAGAGGATCTCGCGAAAATGTGTGCTTAATTTTGGTAAATTGTTAAGCGCTGTGGTATTGCTTAGCTGGTCGTTTTTCAAGTACCTATCTGCTGCAGATTATGATGCTAGTGTTTCTGCTTCCTTTACCACGATGATCCGCCACGATGCTTGCTTCCAACCAATTAATTTATCTTTCGTGTCCGCGCTGAGGCTGACCCATGTATCGTTTGCGTTTCACAGGAAGTCTCGTGTGACGTTTGCCGAGTACGGTGACTCTCCAGACATTATCCGTGGCCAGCTGAAGACACCGCAGCTGCCCGGCACTCAGTCCCAGTCAGTAGAACGGGAGGGACGGATCGTGTACAATCGGGTGTTATTGACGAGACCGGGCGGCCAGTCCAGGGAAGACTGGGACACAGGCGATCTAACAGGACGAAAACCTTAGCAGTCCTCAGGGTGACGGGGACATAATGCTTGGCTGCGGACTTACAGACGCAGCCGTTACTGAAATGTCTTTTAATGAGCGTGACCATCGCCAAGCGTTCCATTTTTATCGTGTTAGATGAATATACAGCGATGCGACTCGGCATCAGCTAATGCTAGCACTTAACTGTTCAATCCTGGGGCTGAGTAATCCATCATCGACGACGGACATGAGAGGTGGAACTAACTACTAAAGTGGAACTAACTATGTGCGCTGCTGCTTGATTGTGTGCCTGCTTATAACTCTCTGTTGTCTGTGTGTGCAGGGACGCGGACGATACTATCAGCAGCTTAAACCCACGCAGGGCGCCGGCCGCCGCTCGCCACGCTGCCGAGGCTGCTGAAAACAAGGAGAACGTCTCCGAGAGTTTTATCCTGGACGAGACTGTCTCTGATGGTGAGTTACGGGCGATGGAGGGTGAGGTGCGGGGTCAAAGTACGGTGTTCAGAGTAATGTTTGGGTGTGGAGAGGGATAAGGTTCCTACTCTGTCCCATTATTCCACCATCACCCTCCCATCCCCTGTTTCTTTAGACGACGCGGACGTGGCCGTCCCCGATGACGCGGACGAGGGCCCGTCCCACCCGGCTGGGGTCCGTCTGCGCCGGCCCGGCTACTACACCATCCCGCCGCTGGAGGAGCTGACGCCGGCCGCCGACGGCTCGCTGGCCGTCGAGGGTCTCACCATCGGCCGGGACGGCTACGGCAGTGTGTACTTCCCGGGCGAGACGCAGCTGGCCGGCCTGGACCTGGACGCCATCGTGGTCTTCCGCCGGCGGGAGATCTGCATCTACCCGGACGACGCGCTGAAGCCGCCGCTCGGCCAGGGACTCAACAAACCGGCACAGGTGAGGACGGCCTCGGTCCTCAGGCCCACCGGCGCAGTAGGGCAATTATTGACTCGTTGGCTGTGACATAGAGCTATCTATATAGCCTTGGTCCTTAAGTGTGAAAATAAAGTGCATTTTTTAACACATCGTATTATTCTGGTGGGGTTTCCCTGCATGCTTACTGCTCCTATGCTCATGGCTCAGATTGTCGAAACTTAAAAGATTTGTATCGTTTTGTACACGCTACAAATGATTGCAGAGCACGACTTGCTTCGCTAGTTCTCTCCGGCTCACCTGAGTCGCCATATGCATTCTCTCCATCCCAGTGACCCTCCCCTCCCCCTCAGGTGACGCTGGAGCGTGTGTGGCCCACGGACAAGGCCTCCCGTGAGCCCATCAGGGACCCGGCCCGTCTGCAGCGGATGGGCTGGGAGAACCGCTTGGAGCGGGCCTGCTTCAAACTCGGGGCGTCGTTCGTCGAGTACAGGCCAGAGACCGGCTCCTGGGTGTTCAAGGTGGGTAGGAGGCATGAGGTGTGTATTTGAGTGGTGCTGATCTATTTGTAGGCGAAGTATAAGTCTGGTTTCCGTTCAGAACTGGTTTTAAGGATGAGGGGCGGGATGATAGGATATTGTTGGCGACCAGAAGTTCGAATTCATTACGTCTCGTCTCCTTTTGATCTTAACAAAGTCGGTTCTTTTACGTTTAGCTTTTCCAGACTGATTCTCACCAGCTGAGGCCTTGATGGTTGTATTGGTGTTAATGTGGTATTACAGTCCCATCACTGATGTCACTGATTGGTGAAGTCGAAACCACGTCACTTTCTTATCCTAGCTGACGCCTGACAGAGTGGTGACTGAGACTCGATCTTTTCCCAGGTGGAGCACTTCTCCAAGTACGGTCTGAACGACTCGGATGACGAGGAGGCCGCTGTGCCGGCGGGCAAGGAGGCGGCGGCGCGCGCGCTGGCCGCCGGTGCCGTCCCGCCGCCGGCGCCACAGCGGTGGTCCGGCGGTGGTCCGCCGCCGGCCCCGCCCACCGCTGGGCCTCTGGAACGCCTGGAGGCCGTGTCCGCCCTGCCCCAGCCGACCCCGCCGGCCGCCGCCGCCGCGCCGCCGCTCGGTGGGTGGGGGTTTAAGAACGAGAGGAGGGGTGGGGTCCAGCGGGAATAGGTAGTGGGTTTTCAGGGTTTTTGTGTCTCATCTTGCACGTTTTTTTTTTTTGCTCAATCAGCCCAGAAAATTATTTGGGCGCGGTTAGAGAGGCTTGTTACGTGGAGGCACTGCTCCAGTCTCCAGGCCACACTGTGCCATACCATTACAATGCATAATGTATTGTTCATTACAGGCATCTCGACATTTTAGCCGATTGCACTAACCATCAGTGACCTGTCCAATCACTTCCGCATTCCGATCGTTTCCCAGCATAGAACACGCCAAACAGCTCAAAATTTTCAACTTATTTGCTCCACTTCTAACCTAACCCCGTTCGCCGATCAGCGGGCGCTACGGCCCTGGAGCCGTCGGAGCTGGCGTCGCCCGCCGTCCGGCTGGCGCGATCGTTTGCCGTGGACTCGGAGAAGGTGCAGGACATGAAGGCGTCCTTCTTCGTCGAGGAGGATGAGGGCATCGAGGATGACGGAGGTAGGATGTTGATGAGTATGCGGATATCTCTGTAAGCTGACCTGTATTCGAGATATGTCGCTCTTGAGAAAACATAAGTCGATTTATGTAATTTGTTTTTTAACCTGAGCATCTTTTGAACATTGTGTTCAAGAATATTTCATTCGGAAGTCAGCGCGGAATGCATGGTGTCATGTACTGATACACTTGTACTAAATATACACGAAGCTGCACTCCCTAGCACACACCTGATAGCTCTCTCTGACCTATCACCCCCCCCCCCCCATCCCTCCACAGGCAGTCAGCTGGGCGAGGAGGCGGCCGGCGCCGGCCTGGTGTCCGCCTTCCGTCCCGGCCTGCTCTCAGAGATGCCTCGCGGTCCGCTGGCGGCCCGGTCGGCCTCTCAGCGACCCACACCGCTCGGCCCGTCCCCGGACCTGGTGTCCGAACAGGACGACTGGGACGAGCGAGACCCGCCCGCAATAGGTACGGGGGAGGAGGATCGGCAGAAGGGGGAGGGAGGAAACGGGACGATTGGGACGAGAGGGAATAGGTATAGGCCTGCAATAGGTACGGGGGGAGGGAGGGAGGGAACAGGACGACTGGGACGAGAGAGACCCGCCTGCTATAGGTACGGGGGGAGGGAGGGAGGGAACAGGACGACTGGGACGAGAGAGACCCGCCTGCTATAGGTACGGGGGGAGGGAGGGAGGGAACAGGACGATTGGGACGAGAGAGACCCGCCTGCAATAGGTACGGGGGGAGGGAGGGAGGGAACAGGACGACTGGGACGAGAGAGACCCGCCTGCTATAGGTACGGGGGGAGGGAGGGAGGGAACAGGACGACTGGGACGAGAGAGACCCGCCTGCTATAGGTACGGGGGGAGGGAGGGAGGGAACAGGACGACTGGGACGAGAGAGACCCGCCTGCAATAGGTACGGGGGGAGGGAGGGAGGGAACAGGACGACTGGGACGAGAGAGACCCGCCTGCAATAGGTACGGGGGGAGGGAGGGAGGGAACAGGACGACTGGGACGAGAGAGACCCGCCTGCTATAGGTACGGGGGGAGGGAGGGAGGGAACAGGACGACTGGGACGAGAGAGACCCGCCTGCAATAGGTACGGGGGGAGGGAGGGAGGGAACAGGACGACTGGGACGAGAGAGACCCGCCTGCTATAGGTACGGGGGGAGGGAGGGAGGGAACAGGACGACTGGGACGAGAGAGACCCGCCTGCTATAGGTACGGGGGGAGGGAGGGAGGGAACAGGACGACTGGGACGAGAGAGACCCGCCTGCAATAGGTACGGGGGGAGGGAGGGAGGGAACAGGACGACTGGGACGAGAGAGACCCGCCTGCTATAGGTACGGGGGGAGGGAGGGAGGGAACAGGACGATTGGGACGAGAGAGACCCGCCTGCAATAGGTACGGGGGGAGGGAGGGAGGGAACAGGACGACTGGGACGAGAGAGACCCGCCTGCAATAGGTACGGGGGGAGGGAGGGAGGGAACAGGACGACTGGGACGAGAGAGACCCGCCTGCTATAGGTACGGGGGGAGGGAGGGAGGGAACAGGACGACTGGGACGAGAGAGACCCGCCTGCAATAGGTACGGGGGGAGGGAGGGAGGGAACAGGACGACTGGGACGAGAGAGACCCGCCTGCTATAGGTACGGGGGGAGGGAGGGAGGGAACAGGACGATTGGGACGAGAGAGACCCGCCTGCTATAGGTACGGGGGGAGGGAGGGAGGGAACAGGACGACTGGGACGAGAGAGACCCGCCTGCTATAGGTACGGGGGGAGGGAGGGAGGGAACAGGACGACTGGGACGAGAGAGACCCGCCCGCAATAGGTACGGGGGGAGGGAAGGACTAGGACGACTGGGACGAGCGAGACCCGCCCGCAATAGGTACGGGGGAGGAGGACCGGCGGAAGGGGAGGGAGGGAACGAGACGACTATGACGAGCGCACCCGGCCGTCATCGATACGAAGGAGGGCCGAGGGGCTGCCGTTCGAGGGTGGGAGCTTCTCGATTTCCTTACTGTAGAGTATCGTAGGTTATTGTTGACAAGTTAGTTTTGCAATGATGAGACCTCCAAGACTCATAAAAAGATTCATCAAGGCCTCCACTTGCGTGGCTACGCATCACGAATCTTAGAAATCCTCATTTTAAGGACATTGATGTTGTCGACTATGCGATGTCGTTCGCTAACATTTGACTCATCTCAATAACCCTCGTAACGATTTAAATTCAAATTGTGATTTGTTTTGTTATCGTAGCAATCCATGCATCTCAGCGCTTTTTCATATACCCACATCCTCTTCCGTCTCACTTTCACTCCCTTATTTCTCAGGCGTCAAGTCTCGTCATTCGGAGGCCCTACCCACCGAGCCTGCCACCTCGGACCGGGCCATGGTGAAGGACTGCCGCGTGCTGGAGTCTCAGGCGCACCGCGAGCTGGCGCCCATCGTACCCCGCTGGGTGGGCCACCTGACGCCTCTAGAGTCGTCCGCCAGGTGAGCCGTCTACTGTCGGTCGCCGCGTGGTGGGTGGGAAGGAGGTTAGGGCGAGTTGAGAACGAAGCTTGAAACGCAGCTGCAATTGTGTATTTAGGATCGCGGTAGAACATGTCGATGAACAAAACTCGTCACTTCTTCATGCGACTCTTTTCTCTCTCCCTCTCTCCCTCCCTCCCTCCCTTCCTCTGACGCTCCCGCCCCCTCTCCCCCGCAGGGCGTCGCACGGTCAGCAGCTGGCGGATCTCGGCTCCATGATGGGCTGTCGCTGGCGGCTCGGCTGGGGCCCCGGCTGGCGTCTGGTGGCCGCCGCCGGAGCCGGCGCCGCCGACCCCTTCCAGCTGGTCGAGGGACGCGTCACTGCGGAGCCGATGTACCAGGACATGGACACGACGGCGGTGAGTGGGAAGGTCATGGAACATGCGCTGGAGAGATGGAAAGTAGGGAGGGTGGAGCAATTTCAATGGTTGGGGGCTGGGATATTGTGGCGGTGGTTGCTGGTTATTTGTCTGCTAGATGTCGTGTTTTGTCATCATCTTACGATTCGTGTGTGATGACACTCATATTGACTAGAAGTATGCAGGACACAGCTGTACACAGCTGCTGTTTTAATGTCAGATGATATTGCGGCAAAGCAGCTGACGTATCCGTTTGAACTCGTGTGTCTGAGTTGACAATCACCATGGTTTGGCGCACACATCGCCTATTGAGGTGACACCCCCTCGGTAGCGGTTCGAGACAACTTTATCGGAACCTTGAGCCACTGACCGCTGACCTCACCCGCCGCCCGTCTGCGCAGTCGGAGCTGGAGAGTCTGATGGCGGTGCAGCTGCGCTTCTCCGAGTGCTCGCTGGCCGAGCACACCGTGTGGCCGCTGTTCAGCACGCGCGCCGACCTGGCACTGCCCGAGGCGCTGGCCAAGGCCGACGGCCAGTGGCCGGACGTGTGGGAGCTGGTGGTGGCTCTCTGGGGACGGCTCGACTTTGACCTGCCCGCTGAAGGTGAGACGAAACGCTGATGGTGCTCACGGCAGGATAGGAGCAGGCACCTTAATGTTTTATAGTTTTGATCATCAGTTACCGCAGTCCTTGCCTGTAATTTGTGGCTTTTGTTTCACATATCCAGTTGAACTGTTTTGACTTCATTTCGATAGTTTTCGTTCATGACAGTGCGGCTATAAAATATTTGTTTTAAATGTAGTGGATGGCGGCTTGATTTGCCGTCAATTACGATGTCACTGTAACATCACTGCAATGTCATGATTATGACTTAACGACTCTGTTCTGACCCCGCTGTCCCCCATCCCCCGTTCAGACGAGGCCGAGTGTCGCGCCTACTCCGAGCTGCAGTGTCGCCGCGAGGCCCTCTCCCGGTGGCTGGAGACCACGTGCCGGCCGGCGGCCACGGCCGAGATCAACCTGCACACGAGCCAGCAGTACCTGGAGACGGTGTTCGCTCACCTCACCGTGCGACAGGTACAGACTGAGGGGGGGGGGGGGGTCGGAGGAGTGTTCACCTAACTTCACTGTCCTAAGCCGAGGTTTCTGGTTCGAGGGAGTGCCATCGCCATCTGACCAATTACAGGAGGGGATTAGAGGGAGTAGGGCGGAGGTTAGTTGGCTTTGAGTGGACGTGAAGTATTTCTTGCTCACAATTAAGCTTTTTTCTCAAATGCTGTTTGTGCATTTAGTTCATACCCAACTCCTTATTGTTCTACCCTTCCGCTCTGTCTTCTGTCTCCTTTTTCGCTTTGCGTTGACCTGACTGTACTGATATACTGACGCGGTCTGTGCGTTCCCTTTCGTCTCAGGTATGGGAGGCGGTGGCGGTGGCCCAGAAGCACCGCGACCTCCGACTGAGCCTGCTGCTGACTCAGGTCATGGGCTCGCACGAGGCGCGACAGCTCGTCAGGAGCCAGCTGGAAAACTGGCGACAGGTGAGCAGGATGGATGAGATATTGTGTGGGGCGTTGAATGAGGTGGTTTATAGCACCTGCGTCAGCCAGCTTGGATATCGACAGTACAAACTATATCGATGACGTAAGGGCTCAACGTTTGTGAACTAATTTTGGTGTTGATATATAAGCACGTTGGGATGAATGGCCCTGTCATTCCCCACAAATATTTATATGTAGTGTGGTTGCACCTTCGTTTGGTGTCACCTTATTTTCAACTCGTTTTCATGAATATCAAGGAATTATGTGTTCTACTTGCAATAGCACAACAGTGTGATTATTCTAGCCAGTTCATTTAATTGTGCTCAGCAGCATGGTCTGCCTTCTTCTGCTCTCGACCCCGCTCGACCGTCTCTTCCCGTCACCGCACCTAACCCTTCCCCTCCCCACTCCCTGCGCTCGTCAGGTGGGCGCCGACCGTCACATCTGCCCGCTCCGCCTGCGGCTCTACATGCTGGTGGCCGGCGTGGCAGTGTGGCAGACCAGTGCAGGGGACGTTATCAACTGCTGCGACGGACTCGACTGGCGCCGCGCCCTGGCCGTCCACCTCTGGTGAGGGGGGGATGGTGGCCGTCGGGAGCGTGGTCTATTGTGGGGAGGGGTTAGCTGCCTGTGGTGTCCACATCTGGTGAATGCGGTGTCCGTATTGTGCTAAGGCCGGGGCCCTGGGTGTGCGCCTGTGAGGAAGGGGAGATCTGTTCGCTGCTGTTGAGGGAGGGGGTATTCACTTATCATAAGGACACGCAACGGTCTCAGCCTTTTGGTAACCCTTCCCTCTCCATGAGTTTCACCTTTTATCGCAGCCGGTTTTGTGGCACGTCCGTCTTATAACACCCAGCTTTACCCCCCGCGGTGTCTCTCGCAGACTGACCCGTCCCCTTTGGTAACCCACCCCGCGTCCCGGCCGTCAGGTACCTGTCTCCAGCCACCAGCAGCGTCTCGGACGTGGTGGCTCAGTACGACGAGGCGCGCCACGTCACCGACGACCTGCCGCCGCTGGCGCCGCCACCTCTCCCCGCCTACATCGCCGACCACGGGGACAGCGGCCCGGAGGCGCCGCGGGACGTCTGCCACCACCTGCTGCGGCTCTACTGCAGCGGCGAGGGGCGGCTGGAGGAGCTGCTGGCGCCGGCCAGCCACACCGCGCAGCCGCTCGACCACAGGCTGAGGTGGGTGTCGGAGAGGGGACAGCTGGCAAAAGGGCGATAATGATGGTGTGATTAACTTACAGGTGGTGAGAGAGATTAAGCTCGGTACAGGCTCAGATAGGAATGCTGATTCGCGTTGATATCTGAGTCTATGGCTCGTTCTCTTTTGGAACGCGTTTTTCTGTATTTTCATGCTGTGGCAGCCCGCAGTGCCCATCATTGCTGGCTCATTTCAGTGAATGTCTTCTTACGGTAAAAATCATAGCCATTTCCCGGCTGAGGTATCCGTGTAGCCCATCCCCTTCTGTAGTTAAATTTACCTTAACTGACCACCGCCCGTCTCTCTCACCCTCCAGCTGGCTGCTGATGGAGTGTCTGGGCTCGCTGGGTTACCGTCAGCTCTCTGAGGAGAGTGTGGAGCTGCTACACACCAACCTGGCCGCCCAGCTGGAGTCGGCCGGACTCTGGTACCTGGCCGCCTTCGTGCTGCTGCACATCGACAACCTGGACAGGTAGGGCGCGGCGAGCGGCGGATGGTCCACTGACGCACTCGTGTATTGGCTGATCGGAGTTAGTATGGTGTGGCTTGGGCCTTGGATAATCATTGAATCGGACGTTTTTGTTCCGCTTGTTTTTGTGTGTTATGATTAGTTTGAGTTTTCTTGGATGTTTATTGCTTCTTAGTTGGATAATACTACCTGTGTTGGAAATTCATGTATCGTGTTCTTTTTGCTAATGCTGATCTTTTTTTTGTTTTGTTGGGTTAGGCCCTTTCGGTCCAATGAGACCATTTCAGAGCCGGGATGATGATAGGATATAGAGGGAGACATTGGTCTGGGCAGGCACCCTAGTGAGTCGCCGGGGCTTAGCCCGTCCAGAGGACAGGCCACCCAGCCCCAAGGCACTCACTGCACCCGGCTACGGGGTGCGCTCCCTCGCGAGCAGCGGTGCCGCTCCAAGGGAGCAGCCCCTGCCCGCATGAGATAAAGTTGCCTGTCCAGCCTGGAGGGGGGCTGCGGCGTGGAGGAGAAGGATTTCAGTATCCTGAGGATAGAAGCACGGAATGGTGTGATGTAAAGTTTATTGATAGGTAGTTAACCTACGAAAACAGGGGAAGTGTTTTCGGCGTTAGTCCTGTTTCCAGCTTCCATCCCTTCACCTGACTCCCTCTCCCGCAGGCGGCGCGCGGCCGTCTCGGACCTGCTGCTGCGTCACGTGACGCTCGAGCTGCCCTCCGAGGTGCGCGACCGGCTCGTCACCAACTTCGGCATCCCAGTGCCCGTCCTGAGCTACGCGCAGGCGGTACGCGCGCGCGCCCTCGGCCGACGTCGCGACGAAGCTCGGCTTCTGCTGCTTGCCGAGAGGTGGCAGGAGGGTCACGACCTGCTCGTCCAGCACATCGCACCCGAGTGTATCATCAATGGTAAGGAGACGCGGCACAGTGATTCATTTGGAAAATGGCCACTAATTGTTAGGCTGTTTTTTTTTTTTGTTATATTGGCACTGCGTTACTTTTAGCGTACGTAAATGACAAGGTTAGCATTATGCATGTGATGGCTCGCCCAGCTGCTGACAGTTGTTGATTAAACACCAGACGCCAGGCAGCCTGTGATGTTTACATTTTAGAACGGTGATTGACCGGCGTATCTGGTGTTCCTGGTATACATTTCATCGCCATGACATGGCGTCTGATTGCTAACTAGAGATCTCATTTAGTATCGTGTGCTGGACACAAGACGAGACGTCTTGTATCCTTATCGAGTTCGACAGCCAAATGTCAGCTGATCCGCCGAGTCCAGATGGCCGGCCGACAGATGCACATACGGCTGGACATATTCCACCGTCCACTGACACCAGAGTACCCGATGACCCGGTACTGTTGAACACCAGCGCCTACTGGCCATGCCTGACCGGCTACTACTGACCACCAACGGAAACTACTGAGTACTGACTGTTCTGACCAGTGCATGACTACTGGCTACCAACCGCTGATTATCGTTTGCCAGCCACAGGCACTGGCCACTGACTGTACTGACCGTAATCGAACACTGTCTATGAATCATCAAGACAATTCTAGATAATTACTGACTACCGGTCACCGTTTTCTCACCATCGTTCACCGCTTACCCCTCTCCTCTCCCTCCGCCATTGCAGAGGAGTACGGGGTGCTGTCGGACCTGCTGAGCCGCCTCTCGCCCCCGGCCGTGTCGGCTCGCGTCTCCGGCTGGGCGGGCGCCGGTCAGGTGTACGTCGACTACATCGCCGTGTCGCGCGCCGTGCAGGCCGCCCTGGAGGGTCGTGCTGACGCCGAGCAGCTGCAGCGGCTGCGGCCTCAGCTGGCCAGCGTCAGCCGCGGCATCGCCGCCTTCAGCTGCCCCACTGCTACACACAGGTGAGGACATGGTTCACATCCCACCGCCACTCATTGGTAAATGACGCCATTGTCATTGGGGGAGATCATGGGCTGGGTGTTGCGCAGGCGTGCATTGTACACCCGCTCTCCATCTTTTGTCTAAATCTCTCTCTCTTGTTATCGTTTTCTTTCTCCTTTTATTGGTGTTTATTTGTACCGTCCGTCTTCACCTCTCATTCCCGATTTCTTCCCCGTTTTCATTTTCTCTTCCGCTTATTTTATTTCTCTTCAGTTTTCCCGTTTTTCATGTCGTTTCCTTTCGCTTCATCTCGTTTTCTTTGAGCTGTATCCAGCTCAGCCCTGTCACTGACACCTCGCCGCCCTTCTCTTCCACAGGCTGGCCCAGGCGGAGATGGCCAAGAAGGCTGCCGTTCTGTTGCGCGCCCTGCTCGACACGGGCCGGGACGGCGGCGCCGGCGTCGGTGCCACCCTGCTCGGCCACCTGGCCAAGCTACCGCTGCCCGAGGACTACGCGCTGGACGAGCTGCAGCACGTGCTGAAATCCTACCTGCTGGAGCTATCCGTCTGAGAGGAAGAGAGAGTGTGGGACAGGCAGAGGCAGAGGTGTGTACGGACAGGAGAGAGGGACACGGTCGCGAGAGGCTGGTGAAGTGAGCCGCGGACGCAGAAATGCTCGAGGATCCAGCTGAGTGATAGCTTGGCGACCCACAGACAGCAGTGACGGTTGAAATCAAGACGTCGCCGCTGAACTGAACACAGACGAGTGTAGGGGAGGGACGGAGGGACTCTGTGAGCGCGGCGTGTCGGTCGGTAGGCTCTGTTCTCGAGTCTGTGTGACTAGCAGAGCGGCCTCAATCGGTGCGGACGGCTCACTGCCGACGATGGTGATTTGTCAGCTCGATTTGGAGAACAACAACGGAGAAACCACCGGATATCTGTGCGATCTGGCCAAGGAATCATCGACTTGTATCAGCCCTAAAACGCAGCGTATGCCAATGCTTAGGCATTCGTGGTCCTGGTCCTGACCTGGCTTTGCTACATCATTATCTGTAGTTTTTCTCCTGCACTAGTTGTCGACTTAATAGTGCTAGCCTGAACTCAGCACGAGGGATCCATCGTAACCAGCCGCCACACCTAGCCAGTTGGGTCGAAGGCGCACGCTACCCGCACGTCTCGAGCTTGTGTGTCAGTGCGCAGCGTGGGATCCTCTGATTCATTGCGCGACTTCATAGATACAGATTGTGATGAGAGGGACCTGGTAGGTTCGGTGTTGCTACGCTGTTTGTATGGCGAACTATGGAAGAGGGCGGTTCTAGCGTCATTTTGTCATGCGACTAGCTGTTTTGGATAATTCATGTCATCGGGATAGTGGGATGTATTTTTACTGGAATTTCTAAAATCCGGATAGGTTAGATTCACGGTTGACGCGAACTGTTGATGCCATAGAAGATGTGAGCGTCATTTCAGACCAATATTCTAGGGTGGATGTTCTATGTTGTTTCGGACGCTTCGACTGGTGGCTACTCGACATCTTTACAACTCTCACCGCGACCTATAGCTGTTGATATCGGTAACAATCGCCGAGCCTGCGTGCCGGGACTGTCGAGCTCAGCAGCTGCCATCAGTGTTGGTCCGCGTCTGCTCTGCCGTGCTGATTTCGCCGAGCCGCGGTGTGCTCTCTTCAGACAGCCCGTCTGTGTGTATCTCTCAACCCGGTGATGGCTGCTGATGTGGCTCTGTTTCGGACAAATTACGGATAGCATTTTGCGCCGCTGAACGCTGATGTACTAATAAAGGCGATGAGCCCGCTGTTTGTTCTTTGTGCCTAGAGTGCGAAGCCGAGCGGTGCCGTCGTGTTTCTTAAGCGGACTTGACGAGCTGGAAACCTATCTTCGCCGGTGTTGGGAGGCTATTAATGCTGACTACTGTTAACAAAACGTCTCGCCATCATTGGAAAATTGTTCTCGACTGAGTTGCTCCCCTGCAAATTTACCTACACACCTATATGTATACAGACACTAGACGGTGTCACCTACAGATCTTCATCACCCCTATTTTTCCTTCCCCCTTTATTTCCCCCTTTTTCCGAGCTGGACGGTGAACCTCATCTACCTCATCCCATACGGGAAGCTTCCATAGGAGCACGCCCGTACCGGGGTGCAGTGAGCATTAGTGGGTTTGGTGTCTGTCCATTTGGATGGGCTCAGCCCAGATGAATTGCTAGGGTGCCCACCCAGACCAATGTCTCGCCTTAATTTCTAGCATCCGTCCGGGTTTGAAATGGTCTCGTCAGACCGAAAGTAACCTAACCCAACAAACAAAAAACAAAAACGGTTCCAGATGTCCCCTTGTGACCGATCTCAACCAGCCGAATGGTATTTTGTGCGCAAACTTATTTGTGATGTACTCGACCAATCAAAGTTAAAGGTGATGTGGCCTAATATTTAAGATATGTAAAACAGTTTCTACATTTATTGAATTTTTAAGATAAAATAATTTGTACATAACACGCTGGTTTCCGCCAAAGCAATCAGTAGCTACGACACAATAGCATTTAGTAGACTTGACCCTCAGCCCCTCGCTACCGCCGTGCATTTTCAGTCGTCCTTCCACTTTTTGTGTACAAGTGTGTGTGAGGAGATAAGCAAGGGAGGGGGCGCGCTTGAGGACAAGGGGCATCTTACGGACACCATAGGACTCTTATGCTGTCCTTAGGCTCACACATACCGAGAGGTAAGTGTTCTGTGAAGTTCCCTATATTGATAGGAACCCGATTTCTTGGTTGACAATCGACTGGCATGGCTGAATTGGGACGATGTGACCACGAGGCTCTACGAGGAAATATTCGAGTGTTTTGTATTTAAGTTGTTTAATTGACATAGAAGGCAAGTACTTCAAGATATTTTGATTGATATGGTCGCTGTTGAAGCTTTGGGAACTTTGACAAGGACTGGCTTGGCAATTTTCTGAGAAGTGATACAAAATCGGCGCACCTCAAGCACCTAAAGGACTTCTTTTGATATTAATTTTTACCTTTTTGCCTTCAATTTTTGCTACCTTTTTGTCTAATAATGATAGTTTTGTATCAGTTCCTTCAAAGTGCATCAGCGTAGGCTTTGAGTAAGCTAAGGCAGTCATAGGCAGCTCGGATGTTTGAACCGTTTCGGTAAATGTCAAGTTTAAGTCCTAAGAAGATTTCATTGATAAATTTTTTCATATTTTTACATTATTTGACATCCTGAATCCAAAAATGATACTCATATGTCTCGCAAATAAAAGAAAAAAACATAATCAAACCTGACCTAACCTTACCTACTTACCTATAACCTACCAACCTACAACCTACAAACCTACCCTAACCTAACCTAACCTACAAACCTACCTACCTACAACCTAAAACCTACAAACCTACAACCTAACCTAACCTAAAACCTAAAATTTTTGCTGTTTCATATTCGTATCAACAGCGTCACAATTGTAGTTAGGACCTAAACTTGACATATACCAACATTTCCTGCATCAGCTATTTGCAACACTGAGTGTTTTTTTTTCTATTTATGATAACCCTGTTTAAATTTTAACTGCTTTTTGGTTACGTCATCCTCAATTCTCCTATATGCAAACAATGTAATTGTGAATGGCTTTTTTATAATCTAATGGATTTTTTTTCTTATTAAGCAGATTAAGCATGCATCTAGGTGTGTTGTGTGCCTGGAGAAGAAGGAGCTTAGGCCAGTTTTACCAGAATGAAAATCATTGGCCCCAGTTTTTCAGGCCTGAAAGTCACCCACAAGTCCCACTAGCTATGCAATGAAATCAAAGATGTTGTCAAAATATATCAGGCAGGCTGATATTTTTATCATTATTTGGTTGCATTGCTTTGATAGTTTCATAAGTATAATTTCTTTAATAGTTTCTTTAAATCTTGAATAGTTTCATAAGTTCATTCAATTGAATGACCATGGCATTAATTGATATCTAACAACAAAGCATTCATGCCAAAGCACATGTCACTTGGTGATGCTGTCATTTATGGTAAGCAGCTAGCAAGTGACTTCATATTGTCAAGTGAATATGAATCACAGTTTTGAAAGCTATCTACATAGAACCATAGAGAGATTGCAGATTATCTCTGCTATATATGATTTTAATACCTAATGCAATAATGCAAGTTTGAAGTTTAGTACTTTATATCAAATGGTACATATTATCAAAATTGCTTGTTTATGGTGTTTAGGTAGGTTCCACACTTAGAGCTAAGCAACTATTAAAAACACTGTTGTTTAGGTGCTGGGACAGAGAACTTTGGCTTTGTGTACCAACACTGGCTGCTCCTTTGTGAATGTTTATGCATGGATCTTGATTTCAGCCATTATTGCTTTTACCAAATACATGTACATGAATATGCTCACCTTCTTTCATTGCAACACATTTTGAAGTCAAGCAATCAAACAATGAATACCTATATTTTTTGGCATTTGGGGGATGGGGGGGGCATGGGTAGCATCATAGTATCCCCTTCAGCTTCAAAGTGTCCAGTTTAGGCCGATGATGGCAGTGTGCAGCTCACCTGCCTTGCACAGCACCTGGCCGCTGTCTCTGACATGTTGCGCACACGTTTTGCGCAGGTGAGCTGGCCGGGCGCGGGCTCTGAGGATTGGCCGGGCAGTACGGTATGTCCGGCGACCTGCTCGAGGCGCCCCTAGACATCAACGAAGCCAGCCTGCTCGAGTTTGAGTCCGCGCTGCACATTGAGCGCGCCCAGTCGGCGGCCATCGTCGCCAAACGCGAGGTCAGTCAGTATGGTGGCACCTCTCCACAGTTGGTACTGCAAATAGCTCTGGGCGGGGATTGTGAGGAAGGTCTGTCCCGTAGCTCAGTTGGTAGAGCGCTGGACTCCTGGTAGGAAAATGACCCTTGTAATTGGAGTTAGCTTCCAATTAACAGACATAACAAGCCAGTGGTGAGAGCCTGGGTTCAAGTCACTCGGGCACTTGATATGTGAGACTCCTGCCGGGGATGGTCTGAGGTTGGTGGGAGCTGCAGTCGCAGCCAGTTGAGTCATTTCATCTCTCATTTGGCATGGAATTCGTCATTTGAGTGAGATGGACCGTGTCTGGCTTTGACGGACATGCTTAGCTTTGGCATAAAAATTATCCCGTCGCCCGGGATGTGCTGATGAAATGAAAGGGATCGGGACCTACGCAGCAAGCTCTGCTTAGCATATGGCCCGGTCCTGTCGATCCACTAGTTGTATAACGTTACGAATCGGTGTAGCCATCTTTTCGCCACCGTGTGCCGGCTTTTTCGACACCATACGCCGGCTTTTTCACCATCATGCGCGATGTAGCTCATTGCGATAGCCATCAGCCTTGACATTTGATCAGCTGGTCCATTTCGGTCGATCGATTTATGTGCGCCCTCCGCCGAACACTGGTAGTTTGACCGGCTCAATAATCAATGCTTCCTGCGCTCGCCGTGACTCACCAATGATGTTTGTTTATAATCACCCTATCATGTGCCGTACGACGCGATGATGCTACTGGTATCAGTGGACGCTGTGTTTGCTGTGTTCCTAAGCCTGGTGTGTGTGTGTCCATAGGAGCTGGGCGGGTTCCGCGCGCTGGACAGCCTGCTGCTGGTACCCGGAGTGAGCGGATGCTATGTGTGCTGTGCTCCTAATCCCCTGTGTGCCCTGTCCATAGGAGCTGGGCGGGTTCCGGTCTCTGGACAGCCTGCTGCTGGTACCCGGAGTGAGCGCGCGCCTGGTGGACGGGTACCGGGACCGACTGGCATGCGGCGACTCTTCCGCCGATGACGGATGGTGAGTGATAGGCAGACGGACTGACATTAGCAGACTGACATACTGACAGTGACAGAGACAAACGGTCAGACAGTGACAGACCCATATTGGGAGACAGCCATTGGCAGAGTGACACTAACAAACTGACATTGGCATACTAGCGCTTGATAACTTACATATTAGTAACGTCCACGGACAAAATCGAAAACACATCCTGGTATTAGCACTGCAGCCCGTTATTGACGGCTATGCGTTTTTTTCCGGCCAGACATTGGGGTAGGGGCGTGCGGCAGGCCACGCCAGACACAATGACGGGCGTGACGGATGAGCCGCTGACAGAACGAGGTTACTGGCATTGACACATGGGTTGAGTTATGGGCAGGCAGGCGTAGATCTGTGCACAGACGCGCATACATACAGACAATATGCATTGCATGCACCCTCCACCTTCAATATATTTTTATTGCCACCGTGTCATTACGGCCGGTAGGTAGCTGTTGTTACGGATTCGGTTCGAACGATACTTAGCTATGCTTAGCATGTTTTTGTCCATCGTTTTGTCACGTCCTATTTGCCAGCATATTTCAACAAGAACACCGACTTCCTTTCGTCAATAACTTCCGTTTGAAATGTCACAATACGGGTCATTGACCCTGTCCTCTTGTAGCCTCATTTCGTCCAGTATTTGTTAGCACTCGACTCGACTCGGAATAAATTTCGTATTTCTCGAACATATATGCTAAACTATCTGCTCCTTGAGTTACTTCATATTTAGATCGACTCATTTTGTTTATTCAAATCTGATAAGTACTCCTCTTACGGATAATTCGGCGTAAATGTCTAAAGCCAATCACTCGTAACATCTTGCCCGTTCCTGTTTATCCGGACCTTCAACATTGCCATCGGTGAGATGATAAGACGCTTCAAACTCAAGACTTTGTCATCTTAGGGTCTTAACGGCGCCTTCAAACCCAAATCGTCATCGAATGATCACACGCTGAGCCCAGGCTAACCAGCTGCACTTTCCGCGTGTGTATTCAGCTCGTCGGAGCCGGCGCCGGCGGATTTTGTCGACGATGACTCTCTGATGGAGGTGCGGCCGCCGTCGCGGGGTGCCCCGCCGTCTCCCGGCGCCGCCAGCCCCTCCCCGGCCGCGCCCGCCTCGCCCTCGGCCGCCTCCTCAGCCACCGCCTCCCCCGCCGCCTCGTCCGGCGACGATTTCAGTGAGGCAGGAACTCTGGTAAGCACTGCTGGCAGCGATTGTTCGGATACGTATTTTCTTTCGATATTCTTTGATTGGTACGGTCTTGTAAGTATGCTCGTTTGCTGCTCCTTACAATTTTGCTATTGCTCGACGCATTTTTGTGTCAGAAGACTAGTGATAGTACTGCTGTAAGTACCGCTTTAGAGCACGCAGGGTCATGGTGCCGCTGTGTGTTATTGAGATATATTTGGGGGCCGTGACACAGTTGTCGCTATGTTTTATGGCGGCGTCCGTCAAACCAACGACCCCGCTGCGCTGCGTAGCAGACAGTAATGGGTTGTGGAGGGGGAGGGGGCGCCCGTGTTTACCGTGGACCATCTTTTGCTGCGGGCGCGCTCTCGTGTGCTCGCCAAGGTCGCGCTTTAATGTTCATCTGAATGGATTTCCGCGTCAGCTGAATGAATTGCTCCAACCACAGCAGGGGAGCCGCCCATGCATACGGAAAGTGGAGCGAACTCAGATTCGAAAGTTAGACGCGAACAGCGTATTGGAGAGTGTCCTGTTGCAGAAGTTTGGTCTTTCAGCCGCGGTCGGCGCTTTACCTCGTTAAAAGTTTGCACTAACTCGGTCGGAACAACTTGGGCCGACCTGACGGGGGCGGTTTTCTGAGGCCCAAATTACTGTCAGTTGTGTCAGCGTGCGCCGGCCGTTTTGGCCACGACAGAGGCCGTGTTCGGAGATTGATTTCGGCCGGTCGGTTTTCTGTTGGCGAGGCCCAAACACTGCCCGAATTGAAACGGTTGTGTCACGCGACCGGGCGAACACGTCTGTTTTGTTGGTACTTGTCTGTTGTTTGATCAACTTCAGTTCCAGCCGGGCTGACTCACGGCGATTCTATTTTCTTTACCAGGTAACCGTTACCCCTGATGCAATATCGGAAATGCAGCCACGATTTAGAGCACTGTACGGCCGTGGACCTCCCGTCCCACTGCCCTTGTCCCCCCCCCCCGTCTTGTGATTTCCGTGGAATTCGACCGTGTCAATTTGAGTGACTGACAGTTGACGGCGACGTTCACTGCCGCGGCTGCGCCGATGTGACGCTCGGGGCAGCCCGACACCACATGCCGGACCAATGTCTGGCGCTATAGTACCCCTGTCGTGTGCCATAGCCACCCGTCTCGATTTATTTGTGTCATTTTAGGCTGGAGATCGCACCCATCTCTGACACTCGACCGTCCCACAGATGAAGCGGAAATCGGACGGCGCCAGTGGCCGCTCCCCGGGAAAGAAGCGCTGTAGGAAGGAGGCCGGCAGCGGGCCGCCGCCCCAGCCGCCCTCCAGCTCCGATCTGGATTCGGCCGGGCCTCCGGCGCTGACCGGCACGGAGCTGGAGCCACCCGCCCAGCGCCGGCCCGCGCCCGATGGTCTCCAGAGCTGGGTCGACACCTACCTGGTACGAACCGTTCGCCCCCGGTGGGGGGGGGGGGGGGTCGGTATCAACCGGGACTGATAAATAGTGATTTTGGTGTAGTTGGGAGTGAGACTGTAGCCTGAGACCGTCGTCGTTTGGGGTCGGGTGATATCGTATTTGGGTGGATTGCATCCTGTGTCGAGGCGGCTTTTGTCCTTGAGGGTTTGTATTTCACGTTACTGTGATTATGTTACGTGCCTGCATATCATTTTTGAATCTGATGGATTATTTCTTCTTACTTCAGACCCCGTTAGTTACAAATCAATAGCGAGACTGGCGAGTCTAGCGGCTAGACAAGTCATATAGCAGCTGCCAGCTGCCGCTTATTAAAACTTAAAACCCGTGAACGTTGCGTGATGTATTTGCATAGGGCCGCCAAATACCGCTACCTCATGTCAGCCTTTCACCGCTCCCATATATCCCGTCGTTTGTGTGTGAATAGGCTGCGTGTGTGTACCGCCCCCTCCCTATGTCGGAACGCTGGGCATAACCTCTGTCCGTGCGGCAGGCGTGGAGCGGCGAGCAGCGTCTGTGCGCGCTGGACCAGCTGTTGGACGTCTCCGACTCGGCCCAGGTGCGGCACATGATGCAGGTCATCAAGCCGCTCTTCCAGCGCGACTTTATCTCGCTGCTGCCGCGCGAGCTGGCGTTGCACGTGCTGTCCTTCCTGCCGGCCGGCGACCTGCTGCGGGCTGCTCAGACGTGCCGCAGCTGGCGACAGCTGGCAGAGGACAACCTGCTCTGGCGCGAAAAGTGCCGCGAACTGCAGGTGGACGACCCGCAGGAGCTGATTGCGTTCCGCCGGCGGCACGCCATCAGCAGCGAGCCCGACTCATCCGTATGGAAACAGGCCTACATACGGCGGATGCGTATAGAGGCCAATTGGAGGAGCCGGGAGCTGCCAGAACCCAAGGTGAGAACCCGTGCACTGAGATGTAAGAGGGAAGGGTGGGGGCTAAGGTGCTCGACGGGAGAATTTAAAGATGTTGTGCGAAAATGAATCTACTGACGCAACAGTGCGGGACGTATGCCGAGGGGCTGCCACGCCTCAAGTATGTTTTCGTATTCATGACTCAGAAATAAAAGTCCTTAGGCATTTAAAAGGCACTGTTGACTCGTAACGTCACATAAGGGATCGTGGCGTAATGTAGCCTACCACTGTGAACCAGGGAGCGCCTGTTGATCAGCACAGAACTGATGATGGAACGCGAGTTTTCGGTCTTTATCTCAGCCTGTATTGCATTTACCTCTCGTGTACCACCTGACCGTACACCCCCTCCCCCTCACTTCCATGATGTTGAACGGCCACGACGACCACGTGATCACGTGTCTGTAACACCCCTCTCCTATCTCCCGCAGGTGTTGAACGGGCACGACGACCACGTGATCACGTGTCTGCAGTTCAGCGAGCAGTGGATCGTCAGCGGCTCGGACGACAACACGCTCAAAGTGTGGTCGGCCTCGTCCGGCCGCTGCCTGCGAACCCTGGTCGGCCACACGGGCGGCGTGTGGTCCAGTCAGATGGACGGCCTCACTGTCGTATCGGGCTCCACAGACCGCACACTCAAAGTGTGGAACGCGGATACCGGGCAGTGCAAACACACGCTCTATGGGCATACGTCGACAGTGCGCTGCATGCATCTGCACGGCAAAAAGTACGTACCGGGGGCGGGAAGGGGTAGGGTTGGGAAGCTGGTATGGTGATGTTTGCTTTAGAATATGTTCGCTAAGGTTTGATACTTTTTAATCCTCGATCTATTTGGTGTACTAACCAGTATGAAATTGTACTTATCTGCGCCTTTTACACACACCGCGTCGGATTTTCAGTGTTGTCTGTTTTCCACGGGCTGGAAGCTATTGACTGGCAGCTCGAGACCTAGCAACTGATTCATTTCCGCCAGTCTCGCGTCGTGCCCCGTTTTCACTGCGGATCGCTTTGCCCCGCATCTTACCTCACCCTGAACGGCCACGAACGGCGACACTCTTTCCGTCTTATCCCCGATACTGCCCCGTGTCTAACCTCCCTCCCCTCCACCTCAGGGTGGTGAGCGGCTCCCGGGACGCCACGTTACGCGTGTGGGACATCGAGACGGGCGAGTGCGAGCACGTGCTGATGGGCCACGTGGCAGCCGTGCGCTGCGTCCAGTACAACGGCAAGCTGGTGGTGTCCGGCGCCTACGACTACATGGTCAGAGTGTGGAACCCCGACCGGGAGGAGTGCCTGCACACGCTGCAGGGACACAACAACCGCGTCTACTCTCTACAGGTGAGTGCACTCTTCTGTCGCCGCAGGGCTGGGCCGGTGGGTCGGTAGGGAGGTGTGTTGAGGGAGGGTAGGGGAATGGTGGAGGGTACTGCGGTAGCTTGTTGTAATGTTTTCAGTGCATCGGATGCTTGGCATTGATTTTCGTTGTGGGCGTTGTGCTGCTTTTTGGTCTTGTCGGTGGCTACTTAATGTGTGGTTGCGGTTATTTTGTGTCGGCCTGTGGCTTTCATACGAAGAGTGAAGGAAGGGGTCGAAGAGGCCGTGTTTGATCGTCTTACAAGGCTGGTTTTCAAGCAGACTCCGCTACCCATTGCCGAAGCGCCCTGGCACGGATCGGCCGCGGCTGCCCTGAACACACGACTCGCCGCACGAAGCTCTGTATCTATTTGGCGACCTCGGCTCGTTATGTCGTCTCAGCATTACGAGTGGGATAATGGGCACGGGCTGCGTCAACGATGACGACACGACATAACGCTCACGGATTAAGTCATCGGACCGCAGCAGCTGTGCTGTGTTTGTTGATGTGTCGATTTAATGCCTGTTGAAGCTGGCGAAGAATTATGTCATCCAAACCGCCGTGCTTTGAAGAAAATACTGTTTTCAGCCATAATTCGTCTTCAGGACAGACTCGAAAGGGAAGCTTAATCATGTTGAAAATTACGCGACAGTCTTTTAAAAGTGCACATGATGCTTTGAAATGATTCTTATGTCTGTCGCTCAAGAGCCGTCGCCTCAAATAAGATTTCCCCTGGCGATGTCACGCATCCGCAGAAATCGATTGATCCACCGTAAATTGAATGGCTGAAACATGCTCCCCATGGGTGTTTGAAGTAGATTCTGTCAGTGGTTTACAGGTGGCAGCAATATTGACAAATACTAGGTGAAGAAGATCTGAGTCCCGTGCCCACCCAGTGAAGCACGAGGAAAAAAGGCAACTAAATACAACACCGAACCCAACGGTCACCGATATATGGTTCAAACCGCATATTTGATGGCAAGTTAAGGTGTATTTTTGTAAGCAAGTAAGGTGTACCCTACTTTACCTTAAGGTAAGGTATTCGACACTAATTGGAGCTGCTCACGTGGTTTCTCGTCAGGTCCCCGATCTGTTTGAGGTTTTCATCTGGCGAATGATGAAAGCGACCTAATTTATGTGTGCTGCATTTACGTTGCAAAATGATGCCGAAGATCCTGAGCGTATTTTACGAGTATGGGACAACCACCGTTACCTGTATAACAAATGCAACGGAACTTTGTCACGGGCTGTGACATCTCTGTTGTGTGTCAACGGTATGGACGTTTGGTATTAGGTTCATCGGGATAGACTCAAAGACCTCAGCGACAATGAATGATCGTACTTTGCTTTTGACCTGTTCGAATAACCGGGACTGAGATTCATCATTCTCATTTCTCAACTGACCATTTGTATCGTGCTGTGGTTGATTTGTCGTTTGCTGGTTTGCAGGTCAGTTTTGTTTTGAATAATGTGACAGGGAAAGCGTGTTTGCCTCGCCAAAAATATATGCAGGATCAATATCGGAATAATATGCATACACACCAGCTTTACACTGGTTCTAGCTGACCCGATTTGGAGGCACCCTAACAACCCCAAACCTCATGTACGCCGTTATACGGGTCGACAGTAGGTATGTGTTATGGTGTTCCGTCTGTTATGTTTATTTCAGGAATCTGACCCGATAAAGCCCGTCGCGGCCGTCTTGTGTTACATCGGTACCAGAAATAACGTCTGCGGAGCTGCTGCTGGTGGTTTTCAGAGGCCATGATGAGTTTTGCTGTTGATGAGAGTTTATTTAGCGGGTCGTGGCTAACCATGCGGTAGGGCGATGGTTCACCGGCGACTGTCCGTTCGACGGCGGGTGTGTTTCTAAGGGTCTTTCGGTGTCCAGTTTCACAGCTGACTGCTGTCCGTGCGTGTGTTGCTGGTGTTGCCGGTGGCAGAAGAGTTCAGAGGTTCACTGGCCTTTGAACCTGTCTGTGACCTGTTTTTGACCTGTCGCTGCCCTCTCACTGACTTCTGCTCACTGTTGTGTCTGCAGTTTGACGGAGTGCACGTCGTGAGCGGCTCTCTGGACACCAGCATCCGAGTCTGGGACGTGGAGACTGGCCAGTGTAAACACACCCTGATGGGCCACCAGAGTCTCACATCGGGCATGGAGCTGAAAAACAACATTCTCGTCTCGGGCAACGCCGACTCGACGGTCAAAGTGTGGGACATTGTGTCGGGTCAGTGTCTGCAGACCCTCTCCGGCGCCAACAAACACCAGAGCGCCGTCACCTGCCTGCAGTTCCAGAACAACTTTGTCATGACGTCGTCGGACGACGGCACCGTCAAGCTCTGGGACGTAAAGACGGGCGAGTTTGTGCGGAACCTGGTGTCGCTCGACTCCGGCGGCAGCGGCGGCGTGGTGTGGCGCATTCGCGCCACGCGCACCAAGCTCGTCTGTGCCGTCGGCAGCCGCAACGGCACCGAGGAGACCAAACTGCTCGTGCTCGACTTCGACCCGGACCACAAGTGAGGCGGCGCGCGGGCCGCCTCCGTCCGTCTGTCTGTCTGTCTGTGATGGCGGCCGCCGCCCAGTTACGGGTCTCGGGTCGCGCCGCGTTCTGGCGGCGCGCCCGAGCCAGGCTGCAGGCCACGAGGAGGCACGGCATTACCTAGGGGCGCGGGCGGGCGGGCGCCACCGGTGGACGGGCGCCCCTAGTCGGGCGCCCACACACTTGCCAGTATAGGGGAGCGGCGCCGGCGGAGCGGGCCGGTCCCCGACGCGCCGCTCGCCGCGTGACGAGCGCCGCCGCCGCCGCCGCCGGAGCGCAGTGTTGCTCAATGGGTTTGTAGCGTCTTTTTTAAGACGGTCCGTCGTGCCGGTGCGACGGCTTAGTTAATTACTTTTTACTTAAGATACTGAACAGTGACCCAGAATAATGAATGCAATTTATATGAATAAATTTCCGTGTAAGGACCTGGCGTTGTCGCCGCCCTGCGCCGTCTGGGTACACCTTTTGTTGATTGAACGACGCTCGACGTGTGCCGCTGACTGACCGATGCTGCTACTGATCATTGGCGACTGGCGGCGCGCCGGCCGGCCGGCCGCCAGTCGCCTCGTGTCATGCCGCATGTGTACATACCCATCGTGCATTAAAGTGAACCGCTTTCGTACAGACTCCTCTGGCATGGCTGAGAGACAGATGAAAGATGGGAGTGGGTGGCTGAGGGTCAGAGGAAAAATGGTATCACTCACAGCAATTGAGTGGATTTGCTGGAGCATCGTGCTGACCGTAGGAGTCATTTTTGGGTTGAAGTTTGTGTTTATTTACACTCTCCATACAATTTTACAATCTATTAGTTCCCATTTCAAATGAGAGGGTAGCGTTTGTTTAGTCATTTTTGTTTACCCAGCGGTTCCATTAAGTGCTACCAAATGTCCGTAGTCCCGACTCCCAGTCTCTCGTGGCTGAGTAATGAATACTCTATGACCGTGCACGGCAGATGCATTGGTTCTCACATTCATTACCTGGCCATTGAACCACACCAGACCGGCAAGAAGCCGCATTCACTGCAGCACCGAGCGGGAAACGAACACCCGTTGCAAATTCTCTGGTTGCCGGCTGCCCCATTCTCGTTACGTAAAACACGTGTCTGTAATCAGGCACCTGCTGGCTAACATATGCCTCGCCGTTAGGCATTACGAGGAACGAGCAGGGATCTTGCTGAATTGGCAAAAGTCGGAGAGGCAGACTTACCATTTTTAGGATGACTGACGAGAAACAGACATACCTAACGTTTCCGGAACGCTACGAATAAAGATGTTTATCCTGTGATACCAGGTTCTCAAGTTACTGCAATTCTATGAGACTTTTTTGCGTTAGATCCCAGTGGCGCGGGAACTTCTTCCAGACTGGGGGGGGGGCTGAACCATCATAGAGATCAACCTAGGGTATACCCCCAAATCCAGTTTTCTCATCGGTTTTAGGCCACTTATTTTTCAGACCTTGGCCTTTTCAACGAAAAAAAAAGAAAAAATATTTGCAAAAAAGTGAGATATTCCGTCTCAGCTGAGTGAAGAAACTACCGTTTTGGCAACCTGGAATGAAGGTTTTAAGCTGCCAAATGAGTTGCCGAGTCAGTAAAATGGGTAGATTTTTCACTCACATGCTTTCTTCCTTTGTGACTCACAACCCCTAATTTGGGGAGGACAAGCTGCCCCAACGGTTCCTGGCCTCATGAAAAGTTGTGAGGCACCGCCCCCACGGCCCCAGAGTTGTGAGGGCAAGCTTCCCCCACTGCCCTCTCCCCCGGTTCCCGCACCTATGTATGAATCTATGAAATTGTGTTGGTAGATTTCCGATTTTGATTCCTCCAGCTGGGGGGGCTCAAATACATTACGAGCCCCCCCAGCCGAAAAGTTGGAGGGGCTCAGCCCCCCCCTAGCCCCCCCGGTTCCCGCGCCACTGTTAGATCCGCACGCAGCGTTTTCAGTTGTATAGCATATTCTGTCGCCCGGCACTGAATGCTAAACATGACGTCCATCCACTGTCCCGCCACCCCACTCCCGATAGCCGCTGTTCGTCCCCCAAACACATCAGACGCGATCATACCTTATATTATCTGGCATAAGCGGTAGGCAGGCATGCATATACTGGCTCAAGTGAAGCGGTTTGCCCGCACTCTTATACATACACATCTCACGTCTCTCCCTCTTTCGTGATCTCTCACTCCGGCGCCAAGTTGCGCTCTCTCTCGTCTCACGTTTTGTATTGGCGTCGCATGGCGAACGCCCAGTATTGGCCTCTCGCTTGGAGGACACGTCTCTCGGCAGTCGTCGCCGCGCTCAGGGATCTACTCTACGATCTCAATGGGCTCGCAGCCGCCGCGGCGACCCGGGCCGGACCGAACCGGACCGGCCGGCCGCCGGCGGGTTGTACTGGGAGGTATGAGGGCCGTCACAGACGACCGATGACACGCGCGCACTCGCTCTCTCGCGCCGCGCGCTCATCGTGTGAAGGTGACCAGAAAGACAGTCGGTGACTTGGTACAAGTCGCAGCCGGCGCGAGGCCGCCGCGCACAGCGGACGGCGTGACCCGTGACCTCAGCCGGAGGTCGGCTCCGAATGCCAGCCGGCCCGTCGACGGCCACCTCGTGGCGCCGACGGGCCCAAGTAATGCCGCTCTAGGCAGGGGCGGCGGCGCGCGGGCTGCCTGGCGTCCGGCGAGATTCGTCGACACGATAGACTCTGAGCTAACAACTAAATAGGTGATGAATATATGTCTAGTGACCCGTCCGCTGAAAGCTGTGCGGCGACGGTAAGATAAAACATTGAAAATTAAAAACAATTATTTAAAATCTACTACAATGACTACAATCGCGATTTATCTTTGTTGCACATCTCATCAACACATGTTAGAACGTGAGGTGGGAGATACGCCATTCTTGGCGTATCGCTCATTTACAAACACTTGTCAGTCCCGCCCGCTCTCCCCAATATGAACAAATGCGGCGCGCGGCGCTGTCTGGCAGGCTCTCCGGGCCGGCCGGGGAAGGGGCCGGTGCGGCGGCGAGGTGCGCTCCCCATGGCAGTGTTAGATGCCGCCGGCGGTGACGGCGGGGCTGGGCAGGTGGCGGCGCAGCACCTCGGCGTAGCTGAGCCGAGACGCCTGGCTCAGCAGACCGCAGGCCTGCGTCAGGGGGCTCTCCGCGGACACAGCTGAGGAGAGAGACGGGCGTCAGTACGGCGGAGTACGCGTAAGGCAATGCAGCTTGGGATAAATAAAACAATATAGCGATGGTAAATGGAATTCCTAAAATAAAATGGCCCTGGATGGCAATTAGTTGAAGTCAAACTTCAAAAGCCATCGACTTAGCCCCATTCCATCCTCTAGGATGACAAGCAACTTCTGCATTGACAACATTCCTCATGACTAAACCTTGGGCATCAACCAGCCACCATTCTCACCATGTTTGGCCAGCTCCGGGAACTCAGGGCTCTCAGGAGCGTGGGTTCCGGCCGGGCGGCGCGCCACCGCCGCCACCGCCGGGGTCACAGCCTCATCCTCTCCGGCATACAGGTTCCTGATGTCGCCCACAATGTCGTCCGCTGCCTCCACTTCTGAGGCCACCAGCTTGCGTTTGGCAGGACGGGAGAAGCTGCGTGAGTCGCCGCGCGCGCGGGGCCGCTTGGCGGCGCCGGCCGGCGGCCGCGGCACCAGCACAGAGTCGCCACCGGCGCCCAGGATGGCGCGCACGCAGTTACAGGCGGCCGACAGTTCCTGAGGGGTGCGCTGGAGATGGAAGGAGGGGCGGCATCGGTCAGACCGGGCGGTACACTCACAGTAAGGCAATAAATTGCGATGCAATGTTTGAGGTCAAGGCAATACTTGCAGTTTCTACTAATCAACAATAACACGCAAATAATCAAAGCTCACAAAACGTTAGCCCCGATTCAAATTAAACATACACCCAAGTTTCCATCCTCACCTTGATGAGGCGCTGGGCGGCCTGGACGAAGGGCGCCGTCTCCACGCCGCAGCGCTGCAGCTCACAGCAGATGAGCGCGGCGGCCAGGCAGGCGGGCGGCACGCCCAGCGACCTGCCGTCGGTGACCAGCTCCAGCAGCCGCTCCGTCAGACCGATCAGCTGCCGGTGCGGCGAGAGGCGCTGCGGCCGGTCCGCCAGCAGACCGGGGCACGCGCCCACCAGCAGGCAGTGCAGGCTGTGCAGGAAGCTGAGCGGAGTCACCAGGCGCAGCTGCCAGCCGAGCTTGTCCAGCACCAGCCGCTCCAGACGCAGCACGTCGGCCACCGAGCAGCCCGGACGAGTGCGCTCCACCACGTATGTGATAGCAGGCACGATCTGTGGGCAGAGGAGAGACACAAGTGAACGGGGGCACGGTCAGGAAACTCACTAAAATATAACCATTACCAGCACGTTTGATTTAAAACTGACCATTGAGCACCTTTCCACATCCTTCACCCAGTCTCTCGCTGAACCCTTGTCCATCCATCACGAGTTGTGTCCTACATCCTCCGCCGTCCCGTCCGGTGTGGTGCTGCGTCAGCGGCCGGCGCGCGGTGTCATCACGCGTCACGTGTCACTCGGTGTCGTGTCGGGATGACGCGCCGTCCCCGTTCCCAGCCGCCGTCGCCAGATGGGTCCGCCGCCGCTGATCCGTCTCCGACACGACGGCGGCTCGTAATTACATTAGCGCCGCGCGTCCAGTCATCTGGAGCGCAGCGCGGCAGACAGCAGCTCAGCTCTGATGGACCACAGCGGCCGCAGTGGTCTCCACAACAGCGCGACAGGCGCCGCCTCGGCCGTCAGAGAAGCCGCTGCAACAGCCGCGGTCGGCCGCCGCCCGTCACCTCCGAGACTGCTCCCAACACCGGCAGATAATCGGTTAGGCGACAGACGGACGGGGATAGAAGAACAGATAGACAGACCGGTCAAATGACCGACTGTCCAACCGACACTCGTCGGTTCCATCTTCTCGCCACGGGCAGAGACAGACGACAGAAGTAGGCGCAGACAGCTCCGCGGTGTCCCCAGCATTCCTCACTCGACCTCTGAGCTGACACAGACGGACTGACCAACATTTGCCTGTCAGCGCGGGGTCGGCGGCACCAGTTGGTCCGAGCGTGCCGCGCGCGTCCCGGCAGAGCTCCTCGGCCGCGACAGATGTACAACGTCGGCAGATGTCAAAACGGCTCGTCCGCGGCACAATTAAACGCATCGGAAAGTACCGCCGGCCACGTACAGTTACCCGTCTGTCTGTCTGTCTGTCGGCGCCCGCTGCGATATAGGAATACAGCTGACCGGCACGCGGCGAGGCAGAAATCTGGGCCGAGTCAGACGCGTCATACAGCACTCCCGCCGTCATCCAATTATTCTGTCATAATAGCGTGATCAATGTAGGATTACGTGCCAGCCGCCCCGTCACCGATGACAAATGTCGGCCTGTCAAGATGTGCCATACTCCGACGGAGCGGTAACGGAGAAGCGCGACACGATTCCATCAAGCTGCGCGGATGTAGGATGTTGCCAACTCCTACTGTTGTCCTCCTACTGGGTCCCACTGTAGGATGTTGCCAACTCTGTTTCTAACTGCCAGCCGCCGACCACAGGCCGCCGTTAGGCTGGCTGGTCAGCTGACTGACATCAGAGGCCGGAGCTGTCAGACAGCAGTGACCTGTCAGACAGCCGGGTGACAGTTCCCTGTCAGTCTGCCCTCCGAGTTAACAGCTGAGCGAACCACTGCCGGAGGATGAACCCTTCTACGAACCAGCGATGTTGGTGCGGCTATCTCAGGCTATGCATCACGCCTGAGAATGATTCGATAAAATGGAACGGGTTACGGGAGTAAAGCTTGAGTTCAGGCCATCAAAGGAAACACGAACAATAAACCAGACTCCAGATAGCCGGGGCCAGTCACGCATAGCTATCATACCGAGTAACGACAATATCACGACTAGGCAGAGGAGATGCACTTATTGCTCAATAAACGAACACAGATTTATGTCTTCATTCCAACACAGCACCTAGTCAAGCCCCTACGACCCTTCTGCTGCTTCAAAGCAGGCATCAAACCTTTAACACACCAACAACAGCGGACAAAAAAAAAAAAAAAACACCCAGCTGCATTCCAAACGGGTGACCTGGAAAACAGCCACACGCGCGGACATACATCAGCGCCCAAGACAAATTGTATCACCGCGTTATACACTCGGAGGGCCATATTTCTCTGATGCGGCGATTTGAGGCGACGGCGAATGGTGATTGATGCGCGCTGGACGGCTGTTCAAACGACCGCCCCGGGCGGCTCCGTGGGCCTCCGTCCTGAGCTGGTGGCGCCCCGGGCCGACCGCAGTTGAACGTTATCACCCAATTATGTCGTGAAGGCGCGCGTGTTGTGGCGTCAGGTGACCCCAGAGCTACCAGACATTGCAACGCTCCGACCACTCAATGTACGGAAAGGAGCTTCTCATAAAGGACAACACGGAAACTAAGGTCGCTACCCTGCGAGACCTCGAAGCCCGCCAGTCAAACTGCAGCGCACAGGAAAGACGTCTAACCAGCACAGCTGCCAGTTTTAAGTTAAGACTCTGGTAGGTCCTTCCTCGCTAGAGATCTAGTTCCAACAAACCTATCCTGCCAGCCCAAACCACCCCAGGCACCACAGAGTCGCGGTACGGTTCCTACCTCGTCCTCCTCGCAGAGTTTGGCCGCCAGGTAGAGACAGGTCAGCGCTAACCACCCTGAACACCTCAGAGTCGCGGTACGGTACCCACCTCGTCCTCCTCGCAGAGTTTGGCCGCCAGGTAGAGACAGGTCAGCGCCAGACACGTGATGTACTTGGCCTTGATTTTGACCTGTCCGAGGAACGCGTCCAGCACGGCCACGGACAGGCAGAGGGTATCGGCGTGGAAACGGAACCGGTAGCACTGGCGCTCCATCCAGAGAACGGCCGCCTGGCGCTCCTGCAGTCCGACGTCACCCGCCTGAGGAAGGATGGAAACGTGCGTCAGACAGTGGTACAACGACGTCACCCAAGCGTTAGACAGTGGCAAAACGAGTGGCATATTTTATACAACGCAGAACGAGCGACTCACAGCCTGGGGAAGACAGCAGGCGACGTCACGCATGACGGCGCAAAGCACAGCGTCACGAAACACATCGTCTTTTTACCTAGATTATCGTCTTCGGTCAAGTACAAATTCAATGAGGGCGTTTAGGATCATGAGGCTAGGCTATGTGTGGAAACAGCCATGGCGACACCGGAGATCTACCAATGCCGGTCACGTCTAAAATATCTGGAACCTTTAGGGTGGTGAGGTTAGGCTATTTCTAGAAACCACGTGAAAATACGGAGAAGACAAGGGGAAGACTGTACCTAGGTAGCTAAATGTAACGGGTACTGGAAGCGGGGTGCCGGCGCCAAGAACCGTGTACCGATTTCTCGTGAAGGCCCAGCTGTCGTAAAAAGACATCGTCCATAAACTGTGCGCTAAAACCAACCGGCCATTCGGTCAGATATAAAACCCACAGCCAGTTCCAGAAATCGGTCAGCTAAAATCTCTCAGGAATGTGGCAGCTTCATCAATCCGGCGATATCACCAGTCAGACATATGTCCGATCAGATGGAAAAGTACGCGCTCGTGTCACTCAGTTACTGAAGCGGAACTGCATCACGAGACGTCACGAGCCAGCCCAGGGCCCACTTCTCGCCTTTGATTGTGACGCACTTCCATCAATCAAAGCCTGGTCACGTCTGCCACTCATTCAACATGTCGAAGCGAATTTAAACCTCATTACACGACCCATTGACGAGCGAATGCCGTGCCCTGAGCATATTACTTTACTGTGGGCGCCATGTGAAACACTTGCGCTAAAACCGACGGGTTTTCCGCACGGGTTGGCTGGCCAAATGATCGTATTACCTCGCCGCGCTCAGACGCAGTTTCTCTGAGTTAGAGTAAGTGTGTTCTAGACCAGTGACAGAAATGAAAAGATAGGTCGGTACCACTAGGACAGGTAGTTACCTACCAGCCATGGACATCTCACGAACACTGAAGTTTCTTGTGGATTGGATAGTGCATAAGCTTCTATGAGTTCTAACAAGATCCAGCCACTCAAAAACCAACCGAAATATCATCATAAACCAACCAATTCGCAGTCCCAACTCCCAAGTCCTCCGTCCTTCCACGCGTCACACGACCAGCCCGCGCAGCTCGGGCCGGCGCCGGCGGCGGACAGTTAGGTGCGGGCGGCAGCCATCTGCCGGCCGGCCGGCGCGGCGAGTGGGTCGCCGGCGCCGCGCCCCCGCCCGTGAGCTATGCCGACACCGGCGGCGGCGACAGATGGCTGCTGACACCGCCGACGCCGCACTGACCAGTATTCCGGCAGGCCCAGCCGGCCCAATTGCTGGCCAAAGCGGGCCGCGGCCTACATTGAAAGCGACGCGCCGCCGCCGCTCCGCCGCTCTGCCGCGAGGGAGTCGGGGCTGATGGGTGGCTGCTGAACCACGAGATGAGAGGTGAGGTGGGTGCAACAGTCTGCATGGCAGACAACTAAATTTAGATTGCATGCTTTATTTCCCACTGACCCATACACTTAACATAACTTAACCCTAGAACGCCTAGGGGGGGGGGGGGGTTGTATCAACCCCCCCTGAGGTTTTTTTCGAAGTGCACGCTAAACGGCTTGTCGTAGCGGGCTGAAATTTTCAATACCCTCTGGGGCAACCTTTGAGCATCTTTTGCCGAAAAAAAATCATCGGGTCATGTCAGGTCACGGAGTTATGACGTCATAAGAGGTACAGCCTCCGGCCGACAGTTACCAAACGTGTGCGCCGAATCCCTAGGTTTTCTGCCGGTGATACCCACATTGTTTGATGGATCATGATGAAACTTCCCATGCATGTTGGGGCAAGCATTGGCTATCGTGTGGTGCAAGAAAATTGACCGGGTCAGGTCAGGTCACGGAGCTATGACGTCACAAGAGGAACAGCGTCCGGTACTATTTTTGAAAAGCGCCCGAACCACTATTTTGCTAATTCTTGTCACCTCAATGGGAATATGCAGCAATATTAGCTTCTATAGGGAGCAAATGGACCTCCCAAATCCAAAAATACAATCAGATTTCAAAAATTTAAATTTTGATTTTTCGAATTTCTGCCGCCGACTGTGACCTTGCCGACTTCCGGCGCTCCCAACGCGCCATTTTTAGAGCTAGGGAAACGAAATACATACCAAACGATAGAGAATTGATCAAGGAACACGATAGTGAAGGTTTCAAGTCGACATCTCCCACCGTTTTGCCGCAATCGCCGCGGAAAGTTGAAAAAGTTTGATTTTTTCGGAAAATTTGACCTTTGACCGGTCATAAGTAGGTCAAATGTTGACCTAGGACCAAAAAATATACCACCAATCGCGAGATCTCGTTGAGAGCAATCCGTTGGTTTTTTTCCGCTAAGCTCTACGACCTTCCGTTTCGAAACGCCAGGGGGGGGGGTCGTAACAACCCCCCCCCCCCCTGGTCGTTCGTGTTATGAGAAATGGCCTGGTCGTGCGAGGGTTAATAACTGCAGCGGAAGCAGAGTTTCAAGAAGACTCTGAGCCATAAGCAAACAAGTACATTAGTTGACTCAAGCATGGGCCATCCCATCAAGCTCTACCCACTCACAAAGTCACCTCCATTTTTTTGACTATTACAGCCCGCCGAGCCATCAATCACCCGAACCAAGCGATCGACATGGGCCGTCCTCAGACGCGGTTCATCGCGGGCCAACCACCCGGCCCGCGCGCCGCGCGCGCGCACCAGAAGCACCTTCAAATCACCAATACATGTCATTAACACAGTTCCAGCAGTCCCACGAGTGACCGCAGAGCTGCCCGTGTCGGTCTTTGACAAAACGGGAACCGGGTCCGCTCCGGAGGCAGGACACGGGAAGACGGGAGCGCGCCGGCCGCCTGTTTACACCCGTCTCTTCCGGTTGGGCCGCGCCGGGACGTCCCGTGGCTCGCCGGAACGGTGTGGCGGGTAGTGTGCGTGAAACTGGATGGCTTCTAATAACCGGCTGTGTTGGCGTCAGCCCGCCGGAGAACGGCCGAGCTGTTAGCTCTTGCTGTCGTTTGGTAAACTGATCCGTTACCAATGATCCTAAAACCGTTCAAGGCAAGCCGCCACCCACAGACCGACTAATTTAACTAACAACAGCACCCGAGCATACAGCCGAGCCTGAGCGACCACACCTTCTCTATTCGTGGTCTTCGGAGAAGACAGAATGGATGGTGGACCCGCACCCTTCCTTGCCCTGCGTTGCGTGCAGGATGGTGACCTCCTAGTCGGCACCATAGCCGCTGGCGGACCGTCTGAGGAGCCACACCTGCAGACTGGCGCCGGCCGAACGCCCCGGGCGCCGGCGCAGTCGGGTATGTCGCTCCTGTACCGCCGCTCAGGACGGTAGCTCGGCGTAATCAATTACCAACAGCACCTGCCGAGCGGCTCACATGATTCATTTGAACGCCGGCGGCCGTCCGGCGGCACCTCCGAGCCGCCGGCGCCGGGAACAAAGTGGAACGCCGTGACCGCCGTCGCCGGAGCAGCAGACACAATGCCTGTCTGATGGGGGGCGGGGCGAGCCATTGATACCGATGAGGTTCCATCGGCCGGCTGACAGCGCTCCGACCGCCTCCACGGCTCCGGTCGGCGGCCGGCGCCACCGCAGGTGATTGAGGACAAATGGCCCCGTTTGACGGAACGGCCCGCCACACAGCGGATAATCGGAGCCATTTTTAATAAATAAATAACCCGAGGAATGCCGCCCAGTGAACAAAGAGTCACTTAGATTCTCAATTAATATCGGGCGCTTAAAGCACAAAGTACACGATAGCTAAGAACGTCTTACATCGCATGATACAGCGGCACATCTTTTTAACTGTCAACAATCAGTTATTTATATATTTCCATGACAAAGCGCCGCATCCTCTGCTGTTAGTTTCTTCGCACCGCCATTTGTCATCTACTGGGAGCGGGTTGCACGACAAAGCCTTGCTGGACACGCGCAGACGCCGGCCAGGCCCACACAGCACGGTTCAGGTGTGGGCTCCAGGCCTGCGAGACGGCTCCCATGGCCCGACGCGGCTGCGCACACCAAGACAGTAGATAAATGACCACGTGAACCCACCTGGGAGCAGAGACTCCCAGAGACAAAGACAGGGAGGGAGACGGAGAGAGAGACAAAGTGAGCGGGTCCTGGGACCTGGCGCCCACAGTAGGCCACCTGGGGACCTAACTACCGACTTCACGACAAGGCGATACTTCCTGATATACCCAGTGACACGAACCAAGATCACAGATCACAAAGAAGAGCTCACGATAACTCATAAAGACTGCAATTAAGTCTGCAAAGAACTCTGTGAATGAACCTTACGTACAGCATTGAAATTCTGTTCCAGTTTTGCCAGTCACAAAACAGATCTTACCCCCAAATCACAGGAATAAGCGACCCGGAGCTATGTTTTGATTGAAACACAGCCGCTGGTTCCGACAGTAATGCGGCATGCGCTGTTCAATCGGACGGTCCGTCAGATCGTCCGCCTATTATTAGTCCGTCCACTGACAGCCTCCCGCCGCTATGCTGTCGGTACGTGACTGCCCCAATGTGATTGCATCGGCAATCGGGGCGAATATCGCTCGGCGGCGCTCCATCGCAGTTGTATTGTTGGTCCAGCAGCGCTCTATGCAAGCTTGCAGCTCAACAACCGAGCTCCTGCACCTCAGCGAGATTTTACCGGCTCAGCAGGCAGTCAGCCATGTGTATCGCTTTATGGAACACTACTTACAAATCTTCAGGAACGTTTTGTGCAAAGCCGACACAGCTTACCAGAGTACAATAAATATCTCCTTGTAAATTAAAATAAGAAGACGGCCGAAGGCGAAAGGTCTCACTACTAACTAATACCAGGAACTGCCGTGATACTCCATTTAATCACAGATG